ATTGACTGTTCCGAGAGGCACAAATATCGAAACACGTCCGTTGTCTTGGACATCGCAAACCAAGCGCCCCTGGTTTTTTTCTGGATGATTACAATAAGGTATGATAAAGATGGAGCGATTACAAAGTTTTCCTTTCTATTTTTTAACTATATCATAAAACATTGATACATTGTATATTAACAATAATGAGGGACGACAATTGGGTGTGAAACAAAAGGAGAAAAATTTGGCAATGACACACTAATGACTAACTGGCTACGAACAAATTAACCTAACCAAGCTCGAAAAATCCTTCGTGGTTCTTGCGCTATATTTATAGATTTTGGACCGCATTTTTGCGGCTTTCTTACCATAACGATACCAACTGGCAGCAAAACGCGCATCGCTCTTTCTGCTACGAATTACACTGAACGAATAATTATAGCAATAGTCTGTTTCTGTTTTTCGATGGTACTTGTACCGCTTTATCAATTACCCGAAAATCAAGCTGGCAGCTTCATCGTTGGCCAGGTAGACACCAAAACAACTGCTCGCAATGCCGTCAAAAGACTCATTTTTCCCTTCGTTCTGTTCAGCGACATTCATGCAGCATCACCATAATAATAATAAAATGATAATTAAATAATCAATTGTTGTAAACGTTTTTATATTTAATTTGCCGTCTAATCAGGGAGACGGTACTAGGTTTAGTTTATTTGACAACGGAATATAAGGAAATGCTTCGTCCAATGATAGACCAGGCCACTGAAATTCATTTATAGATTGAAATATCTAATATAAATGTCTAGAAGAGTGGTAAAATCATGGAGTGATGACCAATGGCCGTGCAACCCCGCGACAGAGGAACGTCAGCGGCGAGGTGGGTTTCAGCATTGATTTAACTGAACGCAGGTATTTGTTTTTCGATAGCGATAGCAAATAAATAGCTTCACATATTGTTCCGCGTTTATTTATATAATTTACAGTAAACTTTCTAATTTTTGAACAGCCACACGTGTTGCTGGCTTTGAGAAACGACGGCGCAACTGTGTTTCGTCATATCATCGTCCATCACCAATATTCAAAATAGGGCGAACCAGATACAGGTTGGACTCTTACAGTTTCGTTAAGTTTGCATTAATATCTGATCAACGGATCCCCAAAATCCTAGCGCGAACGTTAAGTAGTAAATGGCAGCTTTTCTTGCTACTACATGAAAGTACACATACATACATGCATTATGAACGACTAGATAGCAACGTGCATCAAGTATTAGTTGGCGGAGATTTAATTTTTTGTCGTTTTCGAAGTTCTACGCAGTTATCAGCTATAATTCAGATTGGACAGCAAGTTCCGTTGATAAAAGAGATCGTAGCGAAGCTGGTATTATTGGCGAATTTCGCGGAAATCGTGTATTCGAACCCGAGAGTTCGCGGACAATGTGTTCTTCCGATTCCTTTCTTTCCGAGGAAGCCCGCCATAATCTGAGGCCTAACTTGTAAGTGATAGGTGTCTTGAATGAGAGGACAAAAGCCAGTATATAGCAACAATGCCGATGAAAGAAATCATATGGAGGATGCGTGACTACGATACTAAGCGTTCACCTCGTAATTTCTGTAGTAAAGCCGGAAGTTATGGGATACTGCAGGCAAACATTTGGCTAAAAAATAAGTGATATAGGCCTATTAATATTGTAATGTTAAAATTTTAGCACTACCCTGACTATAGATTCTATTTCTCTGTTACGTGGCTTAAGGGGCATCGTTAGCTTAGTTTTACTTGCATCAGAGATATCCAAAAACGGTATCTTAAGCTCTGCAATACCACTTCGTATTCCAATATCCAAAGTACATTTTTTTCTCATTATTCGTTATTCCTAACGGCCAGCGCTGCTTCTGACCTTCGTTCGTTAGACCTCAGGCAATTCTGGAGCTGCCCTAATGATAGTTTGGCGCGTAGAAACTGTTCATAGAACCAAGTCCGATCCCTCTACCCAAATCTCAATTGTCAACTAGCTGAAAATAAAAAACCCGAAGGGTGTTATTTTATCGCATTACAACATTGTCGCAAATATCCACAGCGTTATGTTCAAAGAAGTGAGGTCGTTTTAATGTGTTTAAATAATGTGACGTATGTGTTTGAACAACACCGCTTTATGCAGTGGATGATAGCGACTGAACTAAGAGCAAAAGATGGTGTGATCAAAAACATCAATTGGGACTTCTATTGTCGGTTTCCGCACTAAGAATACATACATCGGGTGGGTTAAATAGATTGGCATTTACCTAATTCTCGCTAACGTCTCATTGGCTTAGTCAATACAGTTACTGCTGTACATCCTAGAATACTAATTCTGTATAGATATAAGCAAACAGTACCGTAAATAAAATTATAACACAGATCCCACAAATTATAGAAGGGTCCCATTCATTTTGGCAGTCGTATTTTCTTCGAATATGACCCCTGCTATAAGGCCTTTCCTTTTAACTTAGGCAACTCATTTTCGAGGTTAGGCAAGTTGACCCATGAGTGTTTTCCGCATCACGACGCCTAAAAAAGCGTTAATAATGATATGTATTAATCAATGGTTATAATACTAGTGGCAAATTGTTTCGTCAACTTTCTACAGAAAGAACTACGCGTTAGTAAATTCACTAGTGTACTTTTTCAACATTGTGTTTTTCTGGTCAGATATCATGGCGTATGCTAAAAATTATGGAAAATCCATAAAATTATCCTGTTCCGTTTTGGCAGTTGTGAAATGAATTGTGAAAAATGAATGCCATTTATGCAGTCACAAAAAACCATTTAGACTTTTTATTGTCACCAGTTCAGGCTCTTGCAAACCTGCTCCACATTACGACTAAACTCCTCGGGAAAAGTTTCTGTCTGTTTCGATTCCGCCGAGTTAATTTTGTAGAAGCCACGAGGTGGGAATAAGAAAATCGAAGGAATCTGCTCTTCAAATTGACGAATCGTTCGCTTTACAGATATGCCGACCGCATTGAGGAAGTGCACCGTCATTTTTACCATAAGCAATCATTAACGACGATAACAGTCTCGTGATCTTTTATCGAACATTCATTTTACTTTATCGTACACTTCCATAATACATTGTTTTACCTTCGATGCCAACTTTTACTTGATTCTGTTCAGGTCTGCCCTTTAATGAAAACTATCAATAGCTCGCCATCATCTTCCTATATCAAGTCCAATTTTAATTGCAGTTATGTAGAGCGCATTATATGTATGTAATGTATGCCAATAAAGCATTGCTAAATACTTTCACACTGGCACAGATCAGAGCTGAACGCTTCAACCTTTTACGCCTGGCATATATCTATTTAGAAAGAAAGGGAGGGAGGGAGAGAGAGAGAGAGAGAGAGGTTACAGGCGTTTAATATTGATTCAAGTGAAGTTAAAGGCATGTTCAGCCTGTCTACATTACGTGTACTTTTTGCCTGCAAAATGTTTGCTCTACTGGGTTTGTGACTGTGGGCCTATAAATTGAGTTGCATTTTCGCGCTTAGACCCATAATTTAGTATTCAAAATTTATCCAACTGTTCGAAGAACTCTTAAAGAAACCTTCAGTACTTACGTTTCAGTACCTAGTGAAGAATGTTTGTTATATTGTGTAATAAATAAGCGTAGAGACGGTGATTGATTGAACATCAAAAATTTAGAATGTCTTAGTCACTGGCTTTTCTGACCCTTGCATAAGTAAATTGCTAGCTTGCACGAGAAGCACCATAAGCAAGTGCTTTGTTAATTAATAGCATTGCAGAAAATTATACGACGGCATAGATTCATATATATATATATATATATGATCCGATGAAAAACGAGAGAGAAGAGACTTTTTTATAGAACAAAAACAGAGGAACAGACCTGAAAGGATTTGACTCCATAATCTTTCATCCTCTAACAATTTACAAAAGCTGGCTTTTGGCAAGCAAACGGGCAGTTTACGCCTGCCTGATCGACAGAGTGACCCGTTCGCCCTATTTGGAATTCGCGTGGCAACTGAAAATATGGATTCATCAAGTTGTAGCATATTGACACGATTGTTGGCCTTATTAGAAGGCAAAGTCTTCAAGAAGGTCCTAAGTTCGAATCATTCTGCTGATATTAATAAGTGAGTAAGCTCAAAAAAGGATTTGCCCTCACAAAAATGAGGCACTATATACTATTCAACGAGGTAGTGGGTGACGAGCTTAAAGGTAGACTGGTTGCATAGCTGCTCAAGTAATAAAGCTTTCCAGCGTATGCAACGGTCTTATTGAAGAGAACCGAAATAAATGCATTATTCAGGAAGATAATAGGCGCCGGAAAAGTGTCAAACACTTTAAAACTCTACAGTTTTCTAAGACGAATAACCTATTCGGAGGAGTTAATCTTTCAAAAGATATAATAAATGAAAAGTGTGTGCGATAATAAACTTTTCTATATTCATACATACAACAAGCTTCTGCCTCGTCACAAAAAAAACTTCATTAAATATGTATATGTATGATTACCTAAAATATTTTCTAGCTTAATGTAGAGACATCGCCGGCAGTTAGAGAAGGATAAGTTACGTCATTTTTTGATTTGAGAGACGAATGAATCAGTCGTTGGATGCCGTTTCGTGATCCTTTTGTCCTTCTCTAGCCTGGAGACCACGTGCTTGCCTCATCAACCTTAGGTTGACTGGGTAGCCCTTTCTCTGCACATGTCACTCCTTCAATTTATTTCCGTTGTACCTGTACCTTAGTGTCCTATATGTACATTTGTGCATGTGTATGTGCCCCCTTTTATGTTCAGTGTTTGCATGGTGAGTGTCGGCTCCGTTCTAACTGATTCAGTCAGGATATCGGCTTCGGCCGGCCATGCGTAGTCGCTTGCTGCACGCGCGGCTGGCCGCTCTTCCGCCCCAGTTTCTTTCTACTACAGTCCAAGCTCTGTAAATACAAGAGTGGGTCCGTGGTCATCTGCCCATTGAAAGGTAGAATGTAGACGTGGCACGTTGGGCGTTATAGGGAGGCAATCGAACACGGTCGGAGTAGAGGCTCCAACAACAGTCGTGACGTCAAGAAAATCAGCAGCAGCAGCAGCAGTGCATGGACTGAGTTTTCGGCAACCATTTTGGCGATCAACACCATCAGACGACTTCTACATTTATTGGTACCGACTAAAGGACAGTCTCATCTATAGCGGGCGGTCGAGACGGCCGGATTATCAGCCATTGTATCAATCGTTGTTGACGACAACAATAGCGGCGGTGGTAACAACATAGTGTACATACTGAAACAGCAATTCCGCAGGAAAACCGCATTGCCAGGCATTCGCTTGGCCTGTGTGCCTCGTTGCTGTATCGAGCCCGTAGTGCCGCCCGGAGTGTATAGCACCAATGCGAATGGCGGCTCGCGGAACTTAATGGGTTAGCAGCGCCCTTTGACCCTCTGCAGGATGTAGGCAGAGGCAAAATCGAAGCTAGTTTTGGCGACGACCACAATGAAGGCAGTAATGACAACGCGTTCGTAAGCACAAGTGTTCAAATGTCACATTGCTATTTTTTTGCTATAATTACAAGGATAATGACGACTGCTAGTACGACTATGATACAATTAAGGACCAGCAAACGAAAAAATGCTCAGGCCCAATATATGGTTATGTCCACCTGTTATGACCACGTATTCGACTCAACACAATCGTCACCATATCAGTGCGACTAGCGTGGCCGCTTTTCAGTGTGACGAATAGTGAAAATTCGGCAACGGCAGTAGTAAGACAATAGCATCATGCGCGAAGAGACCGGTAAGAGCTTGATGTGCAAGACAACACAATGTTGTTTATTAGGAGAAAATGAATTTGAAGATTAGCCGCTCGTTAAGCTTTGGGTTGTCTATTCTTATAGAAAAGCTTGAGGTCTACCTATACTTCAGCGGTCACGTCGGTCGTTAATGTTCACTTTTGGTTACCGTCTTCCTCCCTTTCTTCCCTGTTGCCCCCGGCCTCCTTCCCGCTCGCTCTTTGCCCTTCTACCACACACGCACTCCTACAACATTCTACACGCACGCGGTTCTGCTCAAAGGCTGCAGGACGACAAAACCTGGGGACCATCAAGGTTAGGCTAGGTCTGTTTGAGGTGGATATATACGTGTATCTGTCGACACGCCGCTGTATTGAAAGTACGCACTCTAGATCTCAGCACAGAACGTGCCCGCAGTATATGTATATTCGGTATAGAATGCATACTTATTATGAGTTCTTAGTATCTAATATACAGAAGTAATTATCCGTTGAGCTGATTATAATGCGGATGAAGCAGAACACACGAAAAGGCTAATAAAAGACGTTACTTTTATACATGACTAAAGTAATTATTATTTGATTTACTCCAGGTCATGACTACGATTCTCATTGTTATCATGGAAAACCTTAATAAAACAATTAAATATACGATACCCAATATATTTACTAAAACCAATGGTTGTATTCGGCTTGAGACTGCGGCATTCTCTGCAATACGTTCGAAATGTTCCTAGTAGATCGGCCTAGTAATATTTGGATTACTCGTTCTCCTACTAGCATTTAAGGCAAGTTGACCACCACATGAAACATGTCGGATCAGGCCGAGATCAGTATTAGATACACTTGACGGAATTCAACTCAACAAATATTACTTAGATAAGATGTCCCCCTAATTCATATAGAATTCAGTTCAATAACAGAGGTCGCGGAAAGTACGAGTACAAAAAGATCATATAATGTTATAAACGCCCATTTGTGAAAAACAAACCTACGTTTTAAGGTGAGCAACCTTTCCCAGACTCAGACAGTTACGTACAGAAATACGCTTGTCAGTCTAACGACTAGCTAAGGGCCTTTTTATTAGTCGCCAGAAAGAACTCCGTTAGCTAATCTACTCTGATGTTAGATCTTCATCTTGAATCGTTCAAGCTGCGAAGAAATGATCGTTTTCTCCATTTCATGGTTTATCTTCATAGGAGGGTGTTATTCAAGAGTATGCATTACCGGCCAGATATGTTTTGCGCGATTGCCTCCCTGTGGGGTGCAAAGCGATATTCTAACAACTTTAATAGTTTTGCTGAGTCGAAGAGGCATGCAATACAGCCTAGTTTAGTTTACCTTCGGAAATGTTCAGGAATAATTCACGCAGGTTCATTGTTAACATAGACGTAAGGCGAACCTATAGAACCACGAAATTATTATCGTATGTACAATTCAATATCGCCGGGCACGTGCAGGGTCTCTACTTTCGTAGAATATTCTATACTTCTAATACAATATCTGGCGCTACTCAGTGACAAAACTCGTTTGAAATGAGATTAGTCCCAGATACTCAGTGTTTCACCCGTTCCATTTCCCTCCAGTCGTTTAGACTCAAACGTGTGCCCAGCTTTATTACGTATTTATTAAACCATATTTATTGTGCGACACGTAACGTAACATATCGTTTAGTATAACATAGCAGTTAATATTTAATAGTGGAGAGGATTTGATTTAGTCAGTCTGACTCCGCAAACCTTACCACCACCTGGTGTTGATCGACCTTTAGTCGTAGTTTGTTTGAACATTGTTACGCATACATTTTACAGAAACGGGCAAACAATTTTTTTCATCTAGAGTTTATCGCAGATCTTTTATCCTTCTATTTTGCACAGACAATTCCACAAAAAACACTCGAAATAATCAACCTTTTCTAAACCATCAACCAAAGCTGTCTTATATTTTTAGTCTTCTATTCTTTCTTACACGAAACGCCGTGCTTCTGATGCTGCGCTCTAATATTAAGCGAAAAGAAAATATTCTCTCAGCTGTTCCGAGCTAGCGAAGACGTGTTCTGAAGTCTAATTGCGTTGTAGTTCCGAGAGCCATTTGCAGTGCCTGCACTTAATTTTTCCTTCTCGGCTTTGAGCGCACCCTTTTCCTTCAGACCCCTTTCAGCGAATCTGGCGGATATTGTCTGTCGATTTAGCTGTCAAAGACGTTGGCAGCTGTCGTCATTACCGACAGGCTCTTGCTGACTTGGAAAGGCACTCTTGTAGCCGAAGGTGTTTCGCCCTTGACTAACGAAGGGGAAAAAGACGGCGTTGAGAGTCGTGGATAACTATAACGGCAAATCGACTTGCATCGCATTGTCTAAAACTCGTGTCCGTTCTACGTGCTGGGCAGTGATCTGGCTTGTTTTCGTGGCGCGTTATAGTAATATGCCCTTAACGTGAGCTAGTCGAGAAATGTAGTAGAAAATATACTTTCATCCATTGAAAGCTTGACTCGATACCTGAACAAATGACAGCCTACTTAAAGGCGAACAGTTCGCGTACTGGTGGCATTAGTTCAGCGCAAATCAGAAACGATCTGATTCAGTCGAATAGGCGTAGGTGAAACTTAGCGGCGAGCAATCTCGGACACTTCCATCAAAGGTTGATTCAGGACTATTTCTTCTTTTCTAACTCAGCGCCTGTTCGATGACCAACCCAAATCTTTTTCAACCGGTCGACTAGAGAAGAATCCAGAGTTAGTCAACAAGACGCGTATGTCTGTCGGCCAAAGGTAGTCCAGGTGTCAGCCGGGGAGTGTGTAGAGCTCTTTGTAATCAGTAAGTCGTCGCGATGGATCCACATCCGCAGGTCGAGGATGCCGTCACGAACGGTAAGATAATATTCCTTTTCGTAAATCAGTACCCCCACAAGTTTTCTGATAAGTAATAGCGCATGTGTGTGTGCAATGTTAACTTTCTAAATGGCATGCTTCGATAAGTTCAGCTAGATAAAGTTGTAGTCCAATTTGTTGAGCATGATAAATTGTGTTGTTATTTAAATAGGACATGTCGTCGCATCCGGAATAGCAGCAGCAGCAGCATCATTGAAGGCTGCCGAAATTATATAGAATTCCGCGATAGTTCAACAGGCGACAAAATCCACCTGACCTACGTGATTCAGGTCGATAGCATGATCCATTTTCTATACGTCGAATATAGGGTATCTTGCTGTTTTGGTTTGCGTGGTTTAAGGCTCAGGTCGACTGGAACCATTATCATCATATAATCATTCCGTTCCTGGCTACAGCGCTGATTCAATAATATAATTAGTAGGTAAAAAAACATTTCTGCCTCTCAAAATTCATTAAATTTTGTAGAGGGAAATGCAACCATGCACAGATCCAGTTTTAATTTGGTAGCCTCCTATCGATAGTAGCGTTCGACTGACCTTTTTCTATTTTCGATACATACGAAAGTATAGATTAGTCGTGTTTCAAAGGTCATCAACGAGCAAGTAATTACATCTCTAGTTATGAGCTATTCCATTAGCTTTATTTAAGACGTACGCAAGATCGTGTTGTTAGCCTAGAACGAAGCCTTTGTTTGTTTCTAATTCATTCATGTAGTTATATCGACAAGTACCCACCGAGTGAGCAGATGTCCTATTTTAACAAGCGTCTGTATAAAGGACTGAGTCCTCTTATGGAGCGGGGAACACAATCAGGCGACGATACGTCCTCTAGCTGCTTGTTTCAATTCTGGATGTTGTTTGTAGCGTGTATGTAGTAATCATTACTTCAGATCACTTCCTGCTATCCCTTAATATATGTACGGAAGCTGTTAGAAGACCCAGAACTTTTCCGCGTTTTACATTCGGGATCTAAGCCGTTGAGTGTTAGTTTATGCGGTTGGCTCCGAGCGCGAACCGAAGTGTGTCTACTCCAGGATTCAAAGTTAGAGCACCACGGATTTCCAAAAAGGTTTATAGGTGCACACGTTTCCCACGGTGCTATTCTGATAGTAGAATTTAAGAGTCGTTCGATTATATTTTAAGTGAATAATCGAAAATAATTACACTGAAATGTAAACTCATTTTGTTTGCATGTTTCAAAATGAGAGCAGCAGATGCTAACGCAGCGTCTCAATCACGCGGCCTCCACGAGCAGAATAAACTAAGGCCTTCAATTCTTAGGTTAACGAAATATCCGGCACAAGCTACTGGGCATGCATGTAGACCATATTGTAAAACCCATTCTTGGAACTAGATTCGATGCCGTTTAGGATGACGCACATTATTTCAATAGAATATACATCTCTAGGTGAAAAATGAAAATACGGGCTTTGCCAGGAAGGAGTCGGCAGCAGTGGTTGTTGATAAGGGTCCTCTTCTACGTAGTAGCGATCCACGCAGCCTTGCGGGATCCCCTCAGCGTCGGATCTTAGCTAGATAGTTTCTGCTCAGGAAACAATCGATACGCAGCGTAACAATGGGTACAATTGTGAAAGCCCCCGGCACAGACTTTAGTCTCTTGTACGACCATTGCGAGTAGTGATATCGGAGCATGCATTCTGGAAAATTAAATCATATAGGAATTGTTCGTATCGATAACGTTCACATGCAGTCATCAATGTTTACATTCAAAAACGGCAAAACAAAACTGCAAAGGCTTCTTTTCTATTCTACAATACCCAAGTGGATGATCAAGCTAAACTCATTGCTGTTTCCATAGCGTTAAGCTTTGACCCGCTTTTTACTCTGGAGTCCGTGTGCGTGTTTTGGGGTGGCCAAGACAACTTGGAGCGCTCTAAAATAGCGTTCTAAAAACGCCACTAGAAACTTCGCAAGTTACTCACTTTTAAAATGCAACTGGGTTCTATGCAAGAGAACGTATAAATTTGATTCTGGGTCATAGTTTTTTGTTCGTCGCATTTAGCAAAGTGGGTTTGCCAATAACTACACAAGGGGCCCGCTACTCGCTTTAAGCCAGTTCTGTTAAATGCAATCTCAATAAAATGAATAACGTTGTTGCTGTCGGAAAGTAATATGTTAATGAGTGATGCAATGATGACACCCAGATGCTCATTATAATTATAATAATTTACGGCGAATTCTACTTAACTGCGCACAGGATAGAAACATGGAGCACATACAGTAAGTAAGTTTAACCCCGCACCAATTGACAAAACAATTAACTTAATGATCACTCTAAGTTTATAGCAATAGGATTAGTTAATGTTTTTCGAGCTAAGCAGGCCCAGTCAATGTTGCTAAGCTTCATTGCACTAGATCTGGCGTAAAGTCTAGTCAGAAATCTCTTTTGGCATTAAAGCTGGTCGAGTAGCGTGCCTGGATAGTGGATGGCCGTGCTCGTCTCCAGTGCCAGAATATGGCCCACTGATAGATGAAAACCTTTAAATCTGTTGCTGAATCTAAGAACAAGCTTTTGAAGACATGCACTCAGGTTTGCTGCTTCTGTTTAATAGCGTCTAATGGAGTTTTTATTTCGTCAAGACGGAATAGTTTAATCTTTTTGCGCGGTAGGGATGTACCAAACTCGTACTTGACCAGTTCTAACATAGGGTAATGGCTCAACTTATTACGCGATCTGTGAAATTCATAAGCATTGAAAGTTCGGGGAGACATGCATGCAATGAGCTAGCTATATGGGGGAAGCCAATACAGACTGTCTTTTTGCTGATCGAGCTTCACATCGATCAAAACAGATAGTGCTATGAAGATCTTTTGGGGTTATCGAGTCGATACCGACCATACGTTTTGAAAATCCTAGTCGTGAAAACGCTTGTCCAGTACCACGGGTGCGTTCCAGCATTCGTTTAATAATTAATTGCTACGAACACTTTCGGAAGTATTAATCCTTCTCTAAGATATGATATAATACGAATTGGCTAGCCTTGATAGCTCGTCGCTTTGTTTGTGGTTCTAACAATTTGCTTGTTTCTTCATTTTTTTTTAAGTTTGCTGTTCATAATGCATAGAAAAACTTGAACGTACCGTTAAATCGGAAAGTTCCCAAAACAGAACGTCATACAAAAATGACTTAACAAAAATCATCGTCAAAATATACCATTAGATACGGTTGCTTATGAAGAGTTCAACGATTATTTCTCCGCTTGAAACGATGTGAAAATAGAAATTGGGAACAGCTTTGGATGCATTATTTACGTATATCCTATCGCATAGTTATGATAAAAATAGGGTAGGTATGAAGGACTAGTCAATGTGGTTGAAGTGAAACAGCTTGACACACTTCAGATTGTTATAGCTAAAATTTATCTTGTTTAGTGAAATCTGTCATTTTTCGGAACTATATCGCGCGGTGCCATGAACATACAGCATATGTAACGGTTTTTTCCTCGTTGTTTTGATATGTTAACGTAATCGAGCATCGACAGTAGCTCGATTCCATCGACTCACTGATCGATCTGAAGGTTAAGAAGTCGGCAAATCGAGGCGTCTCTCAACGCGAGTATCTCAGCTCACAGACTTCACGTACCGCTGATCAGGGCTAGGTTGACAAAGGGCTCTTCCGTGTTGTGTTTGTTGATTTATTTATTTTTGTTTTAAAAGACCAGGGCCTGATTTCGTAATTCACCGAAATAATTTCGATCGTAGGTTGGCATAGAGCTTTGACGTGCATCGTCTACGCCGATTTGCGTCTTATTAACGATGTTGCCTCAATCCTGGCGTGTGGATAGCGTACACCGGCATTAGCTAAATTCAGCTAGCTAATTAGGTAGTGTATTATATGTGTAAGTTACCGGTACAATGTCTGTTTACCCCTAACGGCACAATATGTACATAGAACCATTCGATTATCATGACGATACAACGCTTGTGTTGTTTGGACTTTCCACTTACAGCGGTGCCTAAAGGGTATATGTCAACGTACGCTGCGTATGGGGCGCTCGCTGCAACTCGACTGGCTGGTCTTGCGTTGCAGTACATGTTCCCCAGTAGGAAGGTACACTTACAATGTACATAGTTGCTAACGGAATCATACAATAGGACCTGACGTATACAGATTTAACAGAAGTCAGTATAAAATACTTGACAGTGTGACTGGATTATGGACAATGCAATAGCCGTAATTTCATCAATAGGGCGCACTTCTCGAGCGCGCATTGAAGTTCCGAGTCGAAGCGTTTTAGGTCAATGAAGCGACTACAGTGTGAAGTTATTTAGGTATATAAAAAGAAATATATACATACTAAGTAAATAATTCGAATAGTTTCGCTGGTAGTCACTTTTCCAATTTCAGAAATCAAGTCTCTTTTCATCCTAGAGCAATTTTAGCTCAGACATTTAATGCGGGCAACCGGAACACGGCTATAAAATACTTAGCTTGTACAAAAGAAGCCCAACGTTAGGATTAAGGTTGTTTTCAACGGCGATCTATTCTATTTAGCTGGATGACACTATTCACAAGGACGAATAGCTTTCTGGATACCAGTGGAGTGATTACAGCTGTTTCGCTTAATGTTATGGAAGTCAAATAGGCCACGTGTGCTTACGTAAGCTATAAATAAGGCTTGAACTTTGCTGTTGTTTGCTCTCCGTAGCCGGTGATTCCTATGGTAGACCTGAACAATCAGTCTCGCGAAATCATCAGCGTCGGAGAACGCATTCGCACAACCCGTCTAGTACCGCCAAACGAAAAGGTGACTCATTGTATTTCGTTTGAGCTAAGTAAACTCAAGTCACAGAATAACCGAACTTTAATTGAACATAAAATAGCACAATGCAACAGAATAGAGAAACAAGTTTACCCCCGCCCCCTCGCCCCCCAGAAACAACTCTAAACGAAGTTACACGAAATGTGGTGAGTTAATTGTATTAATACAATTCAGGTAATCCATGGTGTCAAAAGATTTTATTAGTATATTTTGATTTTATCTCAGTTTGAAAACTTGGCCTTAGCTAAGGTAGCAGGGTGGATTTAGATGCAAGTTAAGCATGCGCATTGCTGAAGTCGGGACAGTTATAACTGAAGGTAAACAGTTCTATCGAAACACAACCTGCTATACCGTAATGAACGATCAGGCATGCATTGATCAGATTTTTAGGTTATTTCGGATAATTCCATTATAGTTATACTGATTTTTTTATTATTAGGTCAATTACCTCTTCGAGGACGCGCGGACGCTTCATGACGTGATGTTCCGTGGGGCCCGAGTGTCCAAAAACGGTCGTTGTCTTGGCTATCGGGAACCTGGGGCTGCAGAGTTCACCTGGATGTATTATAACGAGGTCAAAATACTGGTCGTGCACCTGCGTTAGTTATCTCTTGCGGCACAATTTGTCGGATTATAAATTATCATTTTTCAGATCGGTAATATTTCTCGTAAGTGCTGCAGCGGCGCTGTGGCCACCTACCGCTTTGGCGGATAACCTTTTATAAATTATAGCGCTTTACTAAGAATAAGTGTTTTTTGAAGGGTACTTGACATGAGTTCAGTGAATATCGAAAAATCCTAACTAAAATTAGATAAGTTAAAAATGTATAGAAGCGCTTCGGTCACTGATTGATTTGCGTAGATTGATTTGGAAGAGAAGAGCTGTCATTTAGGCTAAACAATGACAAACATGTCCGCAGACGCGATGACGCTTAATTGCCCGATTCTTTTATTTACAAATGTAGGTACTGAATCGCAATCGGAGTTTCGCATGCGGTATGCTAGCTATCGGTGTCCTGCCGGGAAATGAAACGCTCATCGGCCTCTTCGCCAGCAACTCTGCTGAATGCGTTATTACTGAAATGGGGTGCTACTATTTCTCTATGGTTTTGGTACCACTGTATGACTCGATGGGCATAGATTCAGTCTACTACATTATTAAGCAGGCGCAAATCGAGACGGCGATCTGCGACACGGTCGAGCGGGTAAATAAGCATCTATACTTATACTTGTATTCACTTTTCAAATTTTATCAGTCAATTCATTACCGTTTTTAAAACTGATAAAAAAGATATTGTCAGTTAGATGGTTGACAGGTACAGCCAGCTAAATTACTATCGGTTGCGACAGATGCTGAAATTTTTCATGTGTCAGGACTAATTTCTAAAGGGACCAATCACGAGGCCTGTTGTTGCCCTTTAAGCTAAAAATGTTTTGACAGTTTAACGAATTTATCTGTGTAGCTTTCTTTTTACAGTAGTTAGTCTACAGTGTACGAGCTTTAAGTGTCTAGGTTGAATTTATGCTGATAGTCCTTGGCTAATTAAGAAATAGAAAGATCTTCAAAATATACACTCTGAAATAATGCGAATAGTAAATGATTTATGATTTCCAAGTGTTTATTTATTGGTAGAATGTAAACTGGCTGACAAATAAGTATCTATGAGCTAACCTGCCCACATACTGCGCATTCTAACAGGCCAATGTTCTTTTGGACCTGAGGAAAGGGGGTCCTGTTCTCCGACGGATCATAGTAATAAAACCTATCACAGACGAACTTCGACTAAAAGCTTGCGAACTTCACGTTGAGCTCTTCCAGTTTACTCAGGTCAGTTGATCATTGCCGTTACGTGATGATACTGTTTTTTATAGACAGAAGAAAAACGTATGCCACATAACGTTGAATATTTCAATATTAAATGGTGAATCGATTTGCAAGGTTGAGGCGATTGGGGAGAAAAGTCTCAAGCACTCAATTGCACCGCACGAAGATCAGTTGGCTGTCATCTGCTATACGTCCGGTACGACGGGAAGCCCCAAAGGTGTTATGCTAACTCATAGAAGCATTGTGGCCAATCTGAGCGCTGTCATGTTCCAGATGGGCGAATGGGCTCCGACTGGGGAAGACACAATGTTGAGTTTCCTGCCTTTAGCCCACATGTTCGAACGTTGCTGCGAGATGGCAGTGTACATGGTTGGCGGCAGCGTTGGATTCTATTCGGGAGATATACGTGGTCTCACGGAAGACATGCAGGTTCGTCCTTTCGGTTCTACCTCTATGTGGGTCCAAGAGTAGTTAAGTTGCTCGAAGCTCGCCTCAAGTTGGTTTCACAGGGTGTTCCTATGATGTCATCAAACGTAATTACTCAATACGTTACACCTACGAACAATTTCATTGTTCAGACTTACGTTACAAGCAAGCGTTTAGACAAGCAAATTTGAAGGTACGATACGCTTTCATTTCATGTCTGCACTTAGATTCTGAAACCCACAATTGCTCCGATGGTTCCACGGTTGTTGAATCGTATTCACGATAACGTCATGGCAGCCGCTTCAGGATCGAAAGTGGCCGCGTTTATACTCAATCAGGCGCTGAAGGCTAAGCAAAACGAAGTGAACAAGTAAGTACCACTATCGGGAGGAACTAAAATGATCGCTTCGTCCAACATGCCGTGCAAATGATAGACGATGAATGTGGCGCAATTACACTTCTACTTTTCTTTTTTGCAGTTACTTGATACGCAATAATCACCCTGTTTGGGACCGCTTCATTTTTAGCAAAATCCAAAAAAAGCTAGGGGGCCGTATTCGCCTCTTTGTGGTTGGTTCTGCTCCATTGGCGGCAAACGTGCTAAATGTAGTCCGTTGCGCCCTCGGCTGTATCATTGTTGAGGGATACGGTCAGACGGAATGTACGGCTCCATGTACCTTAACGTTACCTGGAGATACCCGCGCCGGCCATGTTGGGCCGCCCATCGGCTGCTGTGAGGTGAAGGTCTGTACATGCCGAAATGTTTCTCTGACATGTGCTAAAATCTATTCCAGTATAGGAGAAAGAGCTATGAAACACAAGAACCGAACGATTCATTCAGTGACTCACGATACAAGTGCTATTAGGAACATGTACAGTTTTAGTTAGGAGGCAATTAGGATAAAAGGAAGGCATTTTGCTGGAAGGATATATTCGTGAATATCAGAGCCCGCTAGTTTTTTTTTTACTGTTAGGTATAAGGTAACTATGCCCAGTGCGCCGAATTGCCTAAGAATAACTAATTCTCTCTCGATTTCTTTACGACAAATAGGTGGTCGATGTTCCCGAAATGAACTATTATGCTTGCAATGGCGAAGGGGAAATTTGCGTTAAAGGAACATCGCTATTCCAAGGATACTTTAAGGTTTGTATCAATCGATGCCTCATCGAACGGTGGGATTATCTCACAGGGTTACTAAGTAAGTAGAAATTTAAACATGCAGACGACAGATGGGAACACCGATATAGTGCGATATTTATCGAACATCTTTGTAACGATTAATTTGAAGGGGTAACACTCGCTGGTTCGGATACGAACGGATCGAAGCGTTGTTCAATAGATTGGATTAAATTGACCTATCTCTATTTGCACATACTTATTATTATTATTATCATAATCACTTAGTTAGCTATGAAACTATATATGTTGAATACCAGCAGTGGCAATAACCTCTTTACCTCTTATTCTTCCGTTACGATTATCTAATGTGTTTCGACATATCGTTTGAAAAGTTTACTGTTTTTTCCTCTGTAAGTCCATTAAATTTTTTTCGCACAATGAACAGAGTTTCAATGGAAAAGCTACCGAAACAGCCCTCGGGGGATACTCGGGCGGGAGGGGGGCACAACGAGGACTCTGCGGGAATCTGGAGTTTTTACTAGATCTTGCTTGGTCACCCAATGTTTATGATAACAAACAACTAGTTAATTGGCTGCGAAAATAAGCTACGAATAATATATTATTATGTATTTTAAATGAATGAAATGGAATCGAACTTCGCCGAAAATAAGAAGCCTGTAGGTAATCTGGGCTGCGCGCTCAAATTAGTACGACCTTGCTCTTAACGCTTCGTCCGGCATCGAGTGACGCCTAGCCACAATAACAGGTTTTTACACACAACTGCCACGTGCTGTCTTTAGGTCAGCATGAAGCGGAACAGCAAGTGAATAGCTCCAGGAGATTCTTTTAAACCCAGACTTGAGCCAAACCCTCATCCCGAAAAGGCTGATGTGGGTTTGGTGGGTCTGGAAGAGTTTTCTATAATAGGAAACGCTTGCCAAAAATTAGGACCGACAAGAGCGACCTGTAAATGGCTTAGTTAAGCGACCCTATTTAACAGGACAATACCCAATAGATTAGACAGAGCTATCCTTTTCCACGAACATGCCGGTCGCACATAGAAATAGCACATAACCACATAGAAAAATTGTCCTGCAAGAACTTCGATAGATTTGTCTACACCCATCATATCCTTCATGCTCTTCTAGTCTTTATTTGGTTGACAGCTGGGAGAAGGTCATAGATAGTGACAATCAATTTATCTGCTGCTAGAATAGTTCGAGTGAAATGCTGTAGGTGAGAAACGGCTATTATGTTCTAACCTACTCCATAGATTATCTTACTTTTGCATTAACGTAGAAGAGTGATTTGGTCTCTTCGCAGATGGAATATCCACTATAACCATATGCTATGGCTTTGATATAGATGGTCAAAATTGTTTCCGATTCAAGGATCCGGACCGAACACGAGAAGCCGTGGATGCGAACGGATGGTTGCATACGGGCGATATTGGCAAATGGCTTGACAATGGCACTTTGAAAATTATCGATCGGCTGAAGCACATGTTCAAGTTGTCGCAGGGTGAATACATAGCTCCTGAAAAAATTGAAAACATATTAGTTCGATCAGCATTTATCATGCAGATCTTCGTACATGGCGACAGTTTAAAAGTAAGTAAATGCTATTGCCGGTTCCGTTACTGAAATGTCGCACTAGGCTGAAAAGACATAAGGACTAAACAAGCAGAGTAACTTGGTGGTGATATGATAAGGCCGCATGTTCATCACTCGATTCGCGCGACAGAAGCAAGGACCGCTCGAACGATTCGGACAGCGCATAATGGGTTCCTTAATTGATTTGTTATTTCATTTTCAGTCATCACTTGTTGCTGTGGTTGTACCTGATCCCGAATATCTGCTCATATGGGCACGACAGAACCGCATCGAAGGCACATACGAGGAGCTGTGCTTCAACAAAGTGGTAAAGAAGTCTGTCCTCGATGATCTTCTGTTGACGGGCAAGAAGAATGACTTGAAGACTTTTGAGCTGGTGCGTAATTGATTCATATGCACAATCGTGTCGTACACGTAAATACATTTCGAATTGTGCGCCCGGCGTGTAGCATCAGAACAGAGCCACTTGACATGAATGTTCATTTCATTGACTTCAGATGAAGGACCTCTACCTGGAAAGTGAGCCTTTCTCGGTGGAGAACGGGCTTCTTACTCCAACACTGAAGACGAAGCGAACAGAGTGCAGGACCAGGTAGGACCAGCTGCGATGGAAAGAATGCGTCATAACACTAACATGCACTCTTGAAAAACGAATTTTTAAGACGGTTATTGTGTGTAACTACTGACTGAAATAACATATATTCTTTTTGTGGTTAAGCTATATGTCGGTAACAGCATATCATCGAAAACCACACACACGATAGTGCCTCAACTAGTTAACACGTGTTTTGCATTAATTCAGGGTAGTTAAGCCATTTAGTCTATAATCGGCGTTTCGGTAGATGCGATTGAAACCATTCTATAATTTTAAGAACGTTTGATGATTGATTTTCACAGGTACGCTGCTCAGATTGAGGCAATGTACCACAACCTTAAGTAGACACAAGGTGGGTTCGATCGAATGTCCAATTATCTCGTGTGATTCATTGATCGAAGAGTTAATACGGTAGGCCGATAGCTGACTTGTTAATGAAAACGGCGCTGGAGATCCTGTTGCAATTTCGAAGCACGGTGGCGATGACCACAATAAAAATCCTGAAGATAAATATGACAAAAATATCGGTATATCGGATCTGCGCAGACTGTGGGCATTTGAGCAAGTTCGTCTGGTCCTCGGAAACGGCGGAAAGGCGGTGGGGCTCTTCAAACGGTAGAAGGCGAATTGTGAAATAAAGAGCACCCAACAGGACATTCACCCCAGTGCTTCCTCCTCTCTGTTGACCGTTTGTTTGATCAAACAGCATTTGGAAAGAATAGACCTGATGTCGTAAGTGAAATAATTTATCGTTTACTATTGAAATGTTTATTAAAAAGAAACAAATCGAATAAACATCAATAGTCGACAAGGACCAAATAGAATAGGCGCTTGCGGGTAATTCTTACAGATCTACGCTCCAATTAAGCGTAGAGAACTGAGGAGATGACATCAACTAAAAAATGTACACTGTTATTTAATGGCTTGCGTCCTACCCATATAATACACTGTAGAGCTACGTGCTAAACAAAATCAAAAGGACTAATGGCAGTTGCATAGCCCAGTGATCTGTAGGACCTTCTTGACTATCATGTCACTTTACTACTAATGTTCTATTACAGGGAAAGAACTTCATCGACTGTGATATACTGCATGCAGCTCGTACGAAGAAAAATATATCTTACTATTACTAATTGTTGTAGAGGACAGACAATCTTACGATGGAATATCAACAGACCGAGAAAGCGATTGGCCGAGACCACACGTTAGCGATATTACAAGACCAGAAAAAGACATCTGGAAAAATTCAATTGCAAAGCGACATAACTGCACATAGGAACAAGGAGAAAACGTTTCCAACGCAAACAGTAATAGGTACACTGACAATATATAAATGGACGCAAAATCATGCAAAAAAAAGAGCGACCGTGTTTCTAACACGACTCAGCTCACCGACCTATTACTACTGTAAGGTTACTGTGAAGTATAGAGGCTATCAATTCTGTTGAAAAAGCGCTATTACCGCATCATCGTCTTACTCGTATTCTAACGATGTCCTACAGCACACACACACAGGCCTTATAAATGGCACACACAGGGTCAATCATTCCTGTGCACGAAATACCTATTTAAACATTAAGTCGAAACTGCTGTTTTAACGCGAAGATGTTTTGTTGCATAACGGATGCGGTCGTGATAATTTTAGGCAGACCGCCTGGAAGCTTGAAATGACCTCAATCTCACCACGTAACCTTATTAGGTACGCCATTACCATGTTCTCTTTTTTCATTTATTATAACAATTCCGTGGTTTTGCGAACGTCGATTCGGATTGGCGTCTAATAAACCACAAGTGATTTTAATTAGTTCCAACATACAGCCTATGTCTGTAGCGGAACTTCGCGTGCAAATGTTCCTGGGTTTTGAATAAACGCCTGCGTTACTAGCATTTGATTCGTTCGCGGCTTACCGTTGTCAGTTTACTATTCTTTTAAGGCACTGCAAATGGATTCGGTGGCTTCAAATTTGGCGCGTATTGCATCGACCGCGTGCATGAACTGTGGCGTGGTTCCGAAGTCTTAAATCCATGGTTACCTCACTTGCTCGGTGTTTTCTGTCTTTCAACATTGCTTACTAACCTATGTTTTTTCACCATTAGGTGAGACCACATTCCAGCTAATCGGCGTACGAAATTTACACTATACAAGCGAAGAGCGATGGACAGAGATAGCCTTCACTTTAATAGCAGCGGTGGGATGGTTGGCGATTTGGTGGAAATTGTGGAAAAGTTGTTCAAGCACCTGGCTGATTAGAGTCGCCTCCGGCAGTGTTTGACGAATACGGACGGCTCGCGAAAAAACAGAAATAGCCACTGATAAGGTCGTAAAACGTGCTCATTGATATTTGCAAGGAAAGGTTTGCGCTGGTTTGTGCAAAAGAGACATGAAAAGGCTATACCCAACTGGATCAAGCCGGCTTGCCGTATCGTTTGTATACGATGTACATTACTGGATGAGCCTGAGATTTACTACGTCCCCGACAATTTTCGAGGAATGGCCAGATCCATCGCTTCCGCGAATCTGATTACGGTTTAATTGTCAGGTGATCCGGGCTCACCGCCGATAAAGCCTGACACGCGGTTTCGGAACCTCACGGAGCTGTACTTGCGCTTTTACTTTATTTCATATACATTCACTATAACTTAAAAAAAAGGTTGTGGTGAATACTGGCATGTGAGGCCCGAGTCCCGCGCTGTAGACCCTCTCACCCGTATGCTTGTTGTTGAAAATAGTCCCCTCTGTGCATAAAATATCAGTCGACTCGTTCTCACTGGTCTACACGATACGGGTGTTGCGAGAATTCCGGAAGATACGTGAAGAGACTCTTTAGTCCTAGAAAAACCGGCCACCGAATGAGAACATCCAGCCTACTGAGCTTGATAAGCAGATGGTAAGATTGACAAGGCCTCTTGACCATTAATGACACTAATAAACGGCCTACGGACCAGGGCTGTCTTGAATTGCCAGTTCCCCCTTTTTAGATTTGCCTGATTTATAGTATTAGAAAATCATTTTACAAGCATGACGATCAAAAAAATCATGAACAGATATAATAATCTATACAAAGAGCGTCAACAGTTAACAGAGAGAGGATGTGTTCAGATAGGTTATTCTCGAGGTAGACAGGTCGTCAAAGATTGGCGTCTCGGATATACGGACACTCGCTTGAGGTCGAAACTACTTGCTGCATCGCGTCGAACTTATCATTGCGAAAAGTATGCTATAAAACCACCTTATTATTCGCTATAGTCACCTTTTATCAAATAAACCAAATTCAAAAACTACACAATGTTGATTCAAGCAGATAGGAAACACTTGCTAGGAATTTAGGAAAGATCACGTATGTCTTCCCTTTTTCTAGAACCATGAACCACTATCCAAGTTACTAAGGTGACTATCACGTAAGGCTACATTCCTTATATATATATTTGGAGTATGTAATATTTATTAATGTACATGGGCTTGAGCTTTAACAACGTATCCCATATACCTTTCTTCTAAACTCGGTTGAAATGTGAGGTAGAAGGGGATTGACTTAGTCCAACTAGAGTAATTTTCCTTCGCTTTGCTTATCTCTAGCGTTTTTCCATGGATCTATTGACGAATGTGCAAGTCGCTGAAGCCTGCTGAGAACCGGGCTTCAGCAACTTGCCTCGCTGCTGCACAATGCGCGCAGTTCTCTCTAAAGGTCGATACGACTAGAAGAATTGATTCGACTCCTTTATTATAATCCTAGATTTTTTTAGATGTCTCTAAAGCGCTTAGAGTCGAAGTACTATGAGCCACTAGTAGAGTGGTCTTCATATTGAAGGCTATCACAGAGCTAGCACGCCTCTTGCAAGAGGTCATAGAAATATATAGTGTTATGGCTAATATATAGCATCGAAGATGGAGGGTTCATAGTTTATGTCGATCGATTCTCACTAGGAAATTCTCACGTGTGTTGGTTTTCGACTAGATGCATCAAGCAGAACGGTGAATCTACGCTTTTTACGTAGCCTGAACGCGTCACCAGAAACGTCATGCACTATAAAAACGAAATGTATAACTAATTACTATTACGTGGCAATCTATGACTACGTTATAATTTTATACGTAGAAGTAGCAGCATTCGACACATTTGTAACAGGTGGCTTGATAGCTCGGTGACTGATAAACATATACACGAATCATTTAGTTTACTAATTTGTTACGTAGTAGATGTTTGATAGACAATGAAGAGGCGTTGGCCATCGCTTTCTGCAAATCGTTACATGAACAGCTGCGGTCGACTGACCACTGTTGTCGGTATCCCTATTGCTACTGCTATTTGAAAGGGTGTTCAGAAAAAAAAAAACCATTAAATCAATTTTTAGGCAAGGCCCATATAGCAACATCCACTCGAGCAGTCTTCTTCCAGTATATCTACACAATACAATATCGATCTGGTTCAACGTCGAGGTCGTGGTAGCAAATAAATGAAAAAGAGATTTCTTTCCATTGATTTCCAAGTAAATGGTGGTTTTAAATTCTATTCTGCTTTTTAGTACTATAGATACAGGCTATTATGGCGTTCAAAAAAAGCCACAGTAGATAGGTTCTTCGACGACGAGTTAACCAGATCCATCCGATCAGGCAGGCAGGCAGGCAGGCTTGACTTTGTCACTAACCTACGAAATTGTAAACGACTTCGTTTGTCTGAAACAAATATGGTGTACATTTATTGCTAGTATTTGATTCTGTACCAATTTAATGCCATCTGGAACTCAGTACATTTTACTACCAGTGTTTATTCTACATTAAAAATTGAATGAGTGATCATAAAAGAAGTAGAATGACTGTTAATTATAATGGGGCATTTTACGCCTGTTAAGGCAGTAGTAGAGAGAGTAGAAGAAAAAAACCCCAAGCTGTCACACGAACTATATACGGACTTTTGCTCCAGCCAGTAATTAAAGCTCAATTACGAAAGGAGGACAGTTGGTATATGAAGATATACACAGCAATGATGACATTCCAAACATACAAGCAGGGAGTGTATATGATAGATAAATGTTCATAAGGCTAACGCATCGTTCGCAGGCACTGGTAAAAATCGAATAGGACGAACCAGTCATATGGCTCCAACAATACGCTATAAGCCTCTTGTCAAGGGAAACGAACGTACTTCGTCCTTCACGCAGCCCGTAGCAACGAAAATCGTAGTCGGGTGTTTGGCATGGCTGTGTTAATAATTAAACATGGAAGACAGACATAGAGTCGAATCTCCTTTTTCTCTAACGCATGATGGATTCTGTTGCTGGAGCGTAGCTGGCCAATAGCAGGAAAGCCTTCAAATGTTAGCATCATCGTGTGAAGCTATATATAATTAGAATGTGTCGTTTCGGGAACCAAGTTTATACCAAGGATCGTGTGCCCTAAACCAGCAGAAAATTCCACGTATGCCTATAGATGCGTCAAAGGTCCATACACGTATATCATAGCCCGACGTTAACAACTCATCATGCAAAATAGATCTTTATTTAAATAAATAGGATTTGTTATTCAGCACACACGCATAGGGTGCATCTTGTTTTAGTCTATTTTCGTCAAATCGTCCTAGGGCGCAAGCAGAAAGTAAGACACTCTCGGCCGTCATTTCTTCATTGTGACCGTAGGTTGGGGTATATTCAGAAGATCACACAAATGGTTTCGAACAGCTCTGATCTCTCTGAATTTGTCTGGCTCATCACACACCCATTCGGTATCACTTAGCAGCGCCAAAACGACCTGTACAAACAACCGCAAAACACATAAGTACGAATTTACGAAGGCTCCTATTCTCATTTTATAGCACTCCTTATATATGATTTAAAATACATTTGACAATAATGTGCTCATCACTCACCTCGCAGTTCTCTTCAGGAACAGCTGCCGAATACACGAGTAGCGTTTCGTAAAGCTTACTTGCGGTTTGTTTTCGAACCTGAAACAGATGAGAGAACAAAATTAAAACGATTATTAGCTTTACTTGACCGAGCCGCCATAATTGTTTTTATTGTTAGCTAGATCTCTTACAACGGCATTTAATATTCCCTGTAGATCCTTCTGTATAGAGGACGTGAAGAGACTATTGTCCGCTCGCAGCTTGAATGGAGGGCTCCCTCGAAGCCTGAGCCTTTCACATGGTCTGCGCAGATGACTAATCGTTATCTTCTATTTCGCTTAGCTGTTCACGTGACCTGGCGTTGCGTTTCTACCAAAAAACATAATACGTGTATATCATGGATCTAAATAAACGGTTTCGATGCGTTAGAACAGAATACAGTCAAGTATAACGTCATATGACGAGACCTGGGGGCGACTCCCGGTTGCCAAAGCTCGCCCACATGTAATGTTGTCTTGTAATACAGACCGTCTTCGCTAAGAGCTTCAGCGGACAGATTCCTCACAAAATGCAAGCCAACTTGCAAACTTACAGCAAAACACGAAGCGCTTCATTTACCTATTCAAATTTCGAGTACAAATTTGTCTGCAAAATCGACTGACGGGGATCATCTCCAACCTTAGTCATCCTAATGTAATAGGCACCGTGTGCCTTTTGTGTTTTTTTTCTAAATTGCAATTAAGTGTGCAGGCAATCATAAGCCAATATAAACTATTGTAATATATTAATGTTTCGTATCTATGTGAGCTGAGCAACAAACAAACTCTTCTGCTTTAGCATTCCAAGTTTTTATTATGTACGGGACCTAGTTAAAGTCTTCGGTAAATAATAACAAAAAGCTGCTTTCGCGCGTTTCAAAATAGCGTATCCAAATGCCATTATTATCCGAAATTTTTTCAGTCTTCCCAAACTAAACTCTTACGGGCTTTTATTTAAAAAATTTCGTCAGAGACTTTGAAACCTGCGAGTTGCGTATAATCAAAAAAGGTCATAATTTCGTGTCGAGCTTCGGCCCCCAGTTACAATCAAGGCTGTGTTGACACACGTTGGTTACAATTGTTGTATAGTTATATTCATAGTACGACTTTCCTGATTCAACCATAACGATGTTATGATCTCATTGACTATAATGACCTTGAACGTTTAATCGGGAATCAATGCAAATACCGAACCAAGTATCACGCTCTCAACAGGACACAGGAAGGCTTCATTCTGTGTCATGTTGTTTTACAGAATATACGGGAAGCGTCATTGACTACAGGACAGCTAACCGGCCTGAAAACGATCTCCACGTTCTAGCGCCTGAAGCTTTTGGAACAAGGTTAAAAACGGTCCGGCTTAACTCCGCAGTCTATGTTCCGTTAACCGTAAGGCTGGCAATCGTTAAAGACGATGTATCTTTCTAAGCGTTTCTACTAACACACACAAAGCAGATCGTCGAAAACGACTAATACCGCTGCAAAAGAAACGTTGCCAAGAACGTTGCAATGATTTTGACAAGAAAAATAAGACTTTCCAAAAAACAAAATAGCAGACCTCAAAGTGCACCATCAAACAAATTGCAGAATGCTCGACTGCCCTGAAACTGCAGGCAGTTTAAGTCGGCTTTACATGGACCCCATCGGACCAATTGTGAAACCGGATCCAGAAGTCTTTTCCCCCAGGCACTGTTTGTAGATTCCAGAGGAAGCTCATCGGGAAGCGGGAGTTGAAATCGGTCTGAAGGTCAGTCCAAGGGCAAAGGCTGGAGCGCGAAACGACGGAGCGATTGAGAGTAGGTACGTCGGAGAAGGCAAAAGAGCTACACAAATGTGCACGAGCGCAGTGAAATGTAGAAGTAGTAACTCGAACTTTATTACTGTCTACTTTTACTGACATCGACGTTACCATGCGTCACCTGGAAGTCGGAAATCCGTTCAGCTTCAATGCGAATTTAAACAGCCTGGTGCTGCAGTATGCGAAACGCGAAAGCTAACCGAGAGTCTCTCAACTATGAAGCCGCTTTGTAACCTTCTTAAGAGGATCTGGCACAAGCGAATACTTGAATCGGTCCTTTGACAGTGCCTGGTACCGCAGGAGAACAGGTTGCAGGTATATGCAGAAAGGAAACCATACGAATCCCTGAGCAAAGAGGGTCAGCGACGTGCTTCACTAACTAGGCAATATTAATGGAACACTTTCGAGGCACCTATGCGACAGCGAACACCGAGGGACGAATAGTGCCCTTGTACACTGGTGCGTGCTATGGTGGCTGAGTTCTCTGTGTTTGAAGTTCTGCGGTCCCTAGAGCAGCTTAAGGCGAACAGGACGGTAAAGTAATACGAGTGTGACAACCTGATTTGCTGTGGACATTTAAAAAACAAAACTATTCAACGATTCTTTACAACAGGTACGCCTAATAATGATGCACTACTGAGCGTTACATCTAAAAAAAAATAGCAGTCGCTCGACTTATCTTCATTAAGGACAACTGCACGATCCAGCGTCACGACATGTGATATAATGATTGAGCAGGTACACCGTATATGTCGCAGACTACAACAGGCGTTTTTTTCTGTGTTCGCCGATTTTAAGTCCGCGTTTGATATGACCCCAGAGAGACAGCTTTACCAACGCTTGCAGAATGCGATGTTCCACGACGCGTATTGCGGTTGATCAAGGTGATACTATAAGAAAACTCGATGAACGTGCATGGAATGGCTCAGTTTAAACCATATGCATAATCAACAGGCATAGCACAAGGTGGTAATCTAGGTTTGCGGCTATTCTCGCTGCCGCTCAAGGACCAAGTTCCGTGTTAAATTCCTAGTAGGCCAAGTAAGTACATTACTTTATGCCGATGATTTTATCATTTTTGGTGGGACACTGGTTTTCTGGTTAGCAAGCTCTAGTAGCAGGACCGACGATGTACACGGATGAGGCTGGGTCAGCGGCTAACTCGGACAAAAGTCATAAAGATTCGCTGTGTTTCAATATTTCCAACATACTGCGAATAGGCAGAACGACCTTGAAGTACGTGAACAGCGTTGAGTTTGTAAAGGCGGTCGTGCTCTTGAACGATTAAGCCTTCATAAAGTACATCACGGATAGATTGCGGCGAAGGGTTAGGTGCACCGAGCTTTAGGTTTAGGAATTCCTAAATTTCAAAGTCTAGGGCTTTAAACTTTTAAATTGTAAAGTTTCTTATTTTTAAAATCATACGTTTATATAATTTTTATAAGGACAGATAACCATTGTTTTATAAAATGTTTTTTTCCGCAGATAAAGCGTTTATCTCATCCAAATATCTAAGGAAGTGCAGTTCAAAATGTCTAGATGTAATATCTCTCAAAATAACCATTTGACAGTATCAATAGAAAATACTACGATAACTGACAAAAAGCGTTCGACTTACTATCTTAGACGAGATCAAGTGTATTAGGTATTCTTTAGTATTTGACCATGGTTATATAATAATATGATCCATACAGTTGTAGCTACTAGGACACTTGCGCAAAAAAGGTAGCTGACCTGTGGGAAATGTTTATGTCCAAGAAGAATTGACAAGCGCTTGAGGCTTATAGCAGAGATTTCTTCGAATTGTAGCATCTCACAAAAAAGCTCAATGGACGAAAGGACCTGCAATATTAATACGACATATGCATACCTGTGAGAAATCTACACAAATAAGGTGTAAGCCAACTGTTCTCCATTAATAAATATGTATGATCAACGATACAGTTAGGGTCTATCGTTAGAGAGAGTGTGTGGCCGAACAATATATAATTTTTCTTGCATTCACAATCGGTCAGCTTACTAACTTTTATGTCCTGTCTGCAATCAAATATCAAATCCTACCTTATTCACGTCCTTGGTTCTTTGAATATTTTTCCAAATGAAGTCCATCAAAGATAGCATTGGCGACGAAGGTGCATTTGCTAGAACCCCCGTATTTAGCAAACGACCTACCCCGCGTGCCATAGGCGGAAATAGAAAACGGTTCTTCTGAAATAGTGGAAACTCTACAGCCTGTGCAAGGGTCGTTGCGAAGGCCGCCAGCGCTTCTCGATTATCCTGAAAATAATTCATTAATATATATTCACCTATTATTTGCTGCTATGACAGAAAGCGATTATCGTGATTCTAACGTTTTTTTTTTCATCAGTCGCTTTAAATAGTTAAAATGAAAAGAGTTATACCAATTTGTTTCAATCAAACGTATTCAAAAACGTAAAATCGTAAAGTGGGTGTGATGAAACATAGTATCATGATCGGATATATGTAAACATTGAAACCTGAAATAATGAACTACCTATTAGTACCTGTATTTCTTGGAGATATTTTAGGGCGGCTAGTTGCGCCTTCGTGCACTCTTTTTCTGTCTTCGCTCCTATTGCTACAAGTAACTGTACAACAAGATCCTGACGATAAGTGTCACACCGCAGAAGGCCACCCAACATATCTATACTGTCTTCCAAACTAAGGGCTTCACGGGCCTCTGCAGCGTGGGGCACAATCTCAGGACACGACTCCAAAAGCGTTTTAAACACACTTATTGCTGTTTCTGCCGAAGCGCGTTGTGCGTCCGCAATATGGCTAACAGTCTTCTGAAGGATTACACGATACAAATTCGAATCTAACATATTCAACTGTCCTTTGAGTGAAACGTGCACCAGTTGGTCTCTGAAGGCGTGCATTGCTGCAATGCGTGCATAGAGACCGACATCGAAAAAGGTCTCCGAAAGACTGTAGTCTTCCATTGCTAACCGTATGCACTCCAAGAACTCTTGCAGGTTAACCTTTGTCATCTTATCCTTACTTAAAAGCACTCGACATATATTACCCAAAGCGATGAGAGCCTCCTTTCTGGCTTCTACAAGTTTGTGGCCTTCACCTTGCGTGGCTTGCTGTAACGCTTTAAATAGCATGGGTGCGTGATGTACAATTATTGGCGGTGAAAGTTCTCCGAGGAAACGTGCATGCCCGCATCGTGCTTCAACACTCTCCCCTTGAAGCTGGTCGTAACTTCTTTTGAGTAGCACTGAACACTGGTCACATTCTGCTTCTACAAGATATTTTAGCATAGAAGTTAGCGCGCGTACTCCTTGGCGCTGAATAGACACGTCTGGATTGTCAAGACACCGTTCCCCCACATACCACCACATATCAAAAATCCGTGATGGTAGTACGGTGAAGCGGGATTCGGCGAGACAGCATATCATCTCGGAAAACATGCCTAGTGTTTGGTTATGCATAAATGATGAAAAAAATCGATCATCCTTGTACATTAATACCAGGTAAGTTAAATGCTGTTTCACATTTTCTGGAAGGGCGATATTGAGTCGACAAAGGGCCAAGGTAATCTGCCCTAGGGCGGGCAACGAACCAAGGCGCACATTAATATCAATGCTGGTACTGAACTCAAGTAGACTCCTATAAACAGTATGCAAAAATAATTTTGGTTCTAATCGAACCAACTCTTTGAGGGTTAGGGCAGCCAGATCCCGAATAGCTCTATCCCAATGAGTGATTTTTTTATGCACTAAGTGTTCTATTATACACCGCGTGTATTCTTTATATTCTGCCACTTTAACGCCGACCTGAAGATAGGCCCTATTCCGGACCCCGACGCTGGCATAGTCCGCAATTCGTACGAGATCAATCCCATTTGGAAAGTTGCCCAATCGCCCAACACACTCTTGGAAGGCAGCGCTGGCAGCCCTGCGCACGTTAACTTCTCTGTCAAAGCTCGCCAAACACAAAAGTTGGCCAGCTAGTTGATTAACAAACGGCTCCACAATTTTTGGGTCGTACGATCTTCCTAAGGTCCACGCGACATAACAGGCCGTGTCGCGCACGATACTGCCTACAGAACAGCTGCCACGCAATTCGTTATATACAAAGGCTTCAAGGAGAACAGAGACCACATTTGGTAAATGAAGGGGCAACAGCACTCCCCTTCTTCCAAATTCTGCCAGAGCCATGCAGCCGCCTTGCCACGAGCTTTCTCGATCTTTTTCTTCAAACAGGTTGAAGACCGAATTAATCAGGTCGTACGCGTAGTCTTTCGGGAGTCTCGAAGCAAGCCGCCCAATTCCTTTGGCGGCCGACCAACGTACAATAAGCACTCGATCTTCAAGTCCAGTCAGGAGTGAGTCCACAATTTGTTCGATCACCTCCGGAACTTCATCATCGTCATAGCTTTCATTTTCACCATTACCTTGAACCTGCAATGGTTTGCCAAGGAGTCCGCGCTTCTTCATGAGGTATCTCCACGGCGCCAGATTAGGAGACAGTTGGCATAAGCCTATTCTTTGAAGCAGTTTGAGGGCAAGCTTTCGTTCGAATTCTCGATCACTGTTGGCGCATTTCAGGGCGATGTTAAGCGCAGCTGAGGAATGATCTTGAAGGACTTCCCGTTTCGCGGTCTTAAATATGCTGCACACAGAAAGTAAGGCTGCCGCTCGCGCGAATTCTTCAGTTTCTCCCCGATTTATTGACAACTCTTCTTCGACCCAGTTGAGATACGGTTTAATGAAACGGCCGTGGATATCAGGTCGCGACAGAAAACAGCCCGCCATATAGGCAGCAATGACATTACACTTTAGCCTACTTCTAACATACGTACGGCAGATATCGAGAAAACGTTCTGTAACTGTTGGCTGGTCCCCTACGCCATCAAAGCGTTCTAGTGCAAAGGGTACTGTTGCCAATATGGAAAGCCACAAAAGAAGCACATAATGCGTCTGCCAGTTGGCTGCGTCTTGTGGCTTTTGAGCTCCCATATAACCGAGGACCTTTTCGATGTCGGCCACCTCATGTGGGAATAGATTGCGGACAACTTTATAACCGCGAGTTTTGATAATGAGTGACAGTAGCCGGCAAACTCCATGAAACCTGTCACTCGTAGGCGAGCTACGTGATAGAATCGCGATTGACATGTTAACAATATTGGGTAGTTCTTTATCCAAAAGGTGTGGCTGTTCATGGTATTGGTCGATCACATACTTGAACTTTTCGTAGATCTTGTCGAAATAACTACCTTCGTGTATTGGAATGTCTTCTTCGCCAAGTCGGTTTATCGTTTCCTTGACGTAATCTGCGTCCATAAATTCGTCGAGGGCGCACGCTAACCCCACCGGCATCTCATCATCCTTCTCTTGCGCGCACATTGTCAATTCCTCAGCTTAGGTACGGCCAGCGCCAGCCGCCCTCGCACTTACTGATACAATTCGATTAAATGTTTGCTATGGTAAATTACTAATAATATGAATAGCTGGCATGGCAAAGACCGGGCCGGACCTACGAACGAATTTGGTCAACAACACATGGGCGCCGCCATTGCTTGCTTTCATCGACTGCTGTGAAATAGGCTCCGCCCATTAACACTTACTAAAGTAACTTGTCGAAGTCCGTAAGTAAATTTATACTTAATTACTGTGTAAGAGTACTTTTTTCAAATATTAGTCGAACATTATACAAATGTGAGTGGAGGAACTCGATATTTACAAGCACTAGCATCAATTTGAAATAAGGCGCCATAGCCGGAAAAGCTCCCCTTTGTTCAGTCTCAACCACTGGGCCCTCTGGTGTGATTGGGAGCTGTTCCTCAAGCGGGCACATGATAAAAAAAGGCTCGTTCATTGGCGGGAGCCAGCTTCACTTACGCTACTAAGCAAAATTGTTTCCCTTTTCTACATGGGTAGTTAATCTGTAAGCGTTGGTAACATAGTCCACTTCAAATTCGATGCTTATCAAGTCTAAAATAGAAGCAACAGCAAAAGAATAAAAGTAACAAGCCATGGACATCTTACTATTTGTTGATAACGCTGTAATATAGTTTAAAAAAAATCGTCGTAGCTGGCTTTTTAAGAGCTCTTTCTTTCTGATGGAAATACTATCGTACTATAAAACGTGGATAATAATAAAAAAAATTAACACTCGCTTCGGACTCATTGCAATGTATTGGAAGCTGAGTGTTGTCTTCACCAAATTCATGTAAACAATCGATGTAAAGAAAAATTATTATATATATATATATATATGGGTTTTCGCCATATCGTATGAAAATGCTGGTTCAACAAAATAATACTTTAAAATAAAGTTCACCCAGTTAGGTCAGTGCAAAGAAACAGGCATATTTAATCAAGCAAAGATCCATAAAATTCGAATATAAAGCAGTACCTGCATTTAAAGGCTGTTTACATTCGGGTTTCAACGTTAATGCGGCGCTGTTGCAACACCACGCACTTTCAGAATTCTAGTGTGTCACTGTCAAAATAAAAACAGCTGTAATGTTATAAAAAAAAAAAGTATCTTTTACTTTACATCGTGGCTCATATTTATATAATAATTAATTTAGTTCATATAAAAAGTGGCTTTTGTTAGTCGCTTTTAGTTTGTTTCGAAATTGCTGGTCTCATTTTAATAAGAAAGTGCTCTCCATATTCTTCAGAACAACATGGTCGTATCTACTTTACCGCCGTCTGAGTTCTGTCACTTTCATAACTGCTTGTTTTTTTGAATAACGTTAAATATAGTCATTATTTAAATTAGCGAAATGCATTCATTCGCTTTCTAACGTCGTCTGCTGTTCAGTTCGTATCTCTCACAGTAATTCTCAGCGACGTGGTTGTAAACATCGATCGGGGGGAGTGCACGCACGATCAGCTTGCTAGTCGCCGCTGCTGTGGCTGGATAGAGGAGTGCTGATAGTAAGACCTGTGGGAGAGGCGACTGCCAATCTAGGTAGCTATATTATCCAGCGGAGGACATGAGTGTTGGTGTGGACGAAAGCAAGCCAATGGAGGCCACTCGAGATGGATCGCTTTCCGCCGAAATTCAAAAAGCCCATCAGGGTACTCAGCCCGAGGGACAGGTCAGTTCAATCAGTGATTTTCCCTCTTCTTTTTTTATTAGCCGGTGATGGATCGTAAAGAGAGAGCGCAACTTGTTTGAAACTCAATAGCCCCGCCGAACAGCCGTCGTCACTGTGACAAGCAGGTGCAACAGCCCCAGCTGATCTTTGCCGCCGTGGCTGACCGCAAGCGCGTCAACGAGTTTTACGCTTGATGATGCATTTCACCCGTTGGCCAGTGTCGATAGAGTACCTTTGTCCGCACTGGAGATTGCGTACCTCGCGCTTTCTCTGGGAACTCAGCAATCGCGATTTACCCAGGTGGCAAATATGGACAAAGTAAATGTTGAAAAGGTGATTTAATTGTGTAAAAAGTGGGAACACTTCACATTGTCAGTATGAACTATAGACAAATTGCATTTATGATTATTACCTACAGGTCTTATATCGGAATGGACTCCTGGAGATATATTTTTGATTTACATTGCTTCAGCAAGCGAAACGTTAGTCCTGGGTGTTAGGGCTTAGTCCTTGGTATAAGGCCAAACCCAATCGTAAACCAAAGTTCGAATCTATTGTTTGGTAAATGACGGTATTTATAGTGTGTAGATTGTACCTGATGACAGACATCTTAAAATTGTCACTTCGATTGCCGGTCGATATTAAACTGGATAGCTCACTCAAGAACATCTTTCGAAGAAAGTGAGCGACGTTCAGACCAGATACAAATCTTGTTTTCCAAAGATGAACAATAGGAAGCTGAATAGCGGAAGTGTCTTCGGGGCATCTTGAGCAACGATTACTTTAGCTAGATACCGAAACTTTCGATTTACGAATACTATATTTAGATAGCCACTAAGTGATGAAGTGTCGTTTGGGTGATTATAAAATGTTGTGTTATAAAATGTATTGAATGCTGCCCATCTTGACCCGCGCCGCTCTAGTTGTTCTTTACGATACCATAATCCTTCGCTCTTATCCAAGGGGCAACAAAGAATAAACTAATGGTCAACCTGGCAAGCCAAGTGGTGTTCTTGTCTAAATTATATCTCTTTGAACTTAATATGTATTGATTTGCCACAGTGCAGCTAGCCATCGTTATCAAAGTGATCAATACTAGATTTCGATTGTGTACACGACGACATGCTATGTAAACTTTGATGTTGGCAAAAAGATATCATCTAGTCAGGAGAACTAAATGCTCCAAGCTTTACGTCCGGCACTACCATAAGACATGCCATCAGAAGGCTAATTCCAGGCACGACACAATGTGTTTATTCCCAGATTTGAACCTAGACCACCACGTATCCTTAAGATTAACAAGCAGACAGCTGGCTCACCTCGAGCCCTTCAACTTGGGCTTGCTAATAGCATCCACTAATGTTTGTCGCCTCCTGCAGTAACAACAACAATAAGGATGATAATGATGATCAACAAACAAACATGAAATCTCTCAGTTTATGCATGTTAACTAGGGCCCTGTTTAATTTCTGCTACAAGAATAATTAGCTGCGTACTAATTATCAACGGAAATTACACCACTAAACATTGACACCTGTAATAAAATGTGTTTGTCATTGCAGCGTCGTTCAGAAAAGGGGGTGACGCAGCGTTGTAGCCTTCGGGTCCTTTCCATTTTTCAACATAAAAAAAGACGTTTACCTGTAAAGAAATTATTTGCACTCGTACCGTTGCGAAGACGCTCTTGGCATGAAAAGTGATCATGCCATTTTCTTGGCAAAGAAAATGGCATGATCTGGTCAGGGAAATATCATGCACAAAGATCCCCACCAAATTATAGCGATCTCAGCAGCTACAACTACTCCTAACAAAGAAAGAAGATGAAGAGGCCTCCAGAAAACGATTTTAGTTCTACAGTTAAGGGGAGATTCGATGTTGCGTGCATAGTCTGCGCTGTTTAGATAATCAGTTATCACGAAACTGTTCGAAACGTCCACTATCTATGAATTTGTATTAAATGATTGGATTTACTCTCCGTATCTCTCTGTCGGTAAAAGGCTGTTGATACTTCCCTTTGTCTTCATATTCCTTGAACTTTTCGACAACTAAAAGCCACAATCGAATAGAAGAATAAAAGATAACGAAAAATTAAGAATGATAAATTATGCATTGCTAATGTATTTTTTCTACTTCCGGAAGTAGCGCTTCTTTCGTTGCTCTGCTTAGGTATTATCGATAGCTATGACTTGCAACTGCCGTCATAGCTGCCTACGGTGCCGCTTGGCAGGCCACCGGACAACGGCCACAATACCAGAGTATTTTGAGCGCGAGTGGCACGTGGCTCCACTCTGAATAGCGTAAGACTTGGTAATTCAAGAGATAATGTTTTCGACGTTAGAGCGAAGAGACAACATCGATAGACCTACAGACAAACCGCTCACTTAGCATTGGCCTTGACTGCTTGCTAGCAATGACTTTCTAATTTTGTTTTTAGCTCTTAACAAAAGTTATTATCTTTTAATATTTTCAAGTTGTGTCTATGTCGTCTCCGTAGTGTAATCAAATTTATAGAGCATTCGGCTATGCCATTAGTCATCCTTAGATGAATAGAAACAATTGTACCTTCTTGTCCTGTAGGTCCTGGTAGGCATGCAATAACCTTCTACGATTTAGCGGTAGGACAGTGATTCTTGTACCAACTGATACATTACTTGCTGCGTATAAATGTTATATCATTGACATTTCTTTCGTAATAAGGCTTGGGTTAATTGCGGCCTCAGTAAATTGTTGAATGATTTGTAGTATGATACGTGTTGTTTTCATGAAGGTGTTAAAGATAGTGTTAAAACAAATTATACTTGAAGGGTGATAAAGGCCCACTGGAAGAATTGCGAAAGAGTTTTGTATTAACTAAACCAAAGATGTTAATTTCATTTTCGTTTACCATTGATACGATGTGAAACGTTTATCATTTCTCTTTAATTTAAACTACCATACTTAAAAATCATTGATTTTTAGGGTATTTTATTGCATTTTGCAAAGAGATGCAGGAATCCAGATACACTGCAGGCAGTCATTGCCGTTATGTTAGGTTATTGCAGTAATTTTAAATTTATTAAACTTCATAAACAAGCTTTGTGTCGACCTTGTTTCGTTGTCTCTCATAGCCACTTCCAGTGCAGGATGCACTTTCGGCGTCCGCGAAGACCATCAGCGAAATCGAAGCGCTCGGTGGTAGTTCAACAGATGCGCGCGCGCGAGGCGACGGACCTAGTAGACCAGTTGTACCTGGGAGCTCTACCGAAACAGCTGTAGATCGGTCCCAGGACAATACAAGGTCTGCTGAAAACAGCACTGCCATAAATGGCGGCAGATATTTGCCACGTATGCTTACGAAAGAGTGAGTAAACGACGTGCGTATTGGACGGACAGAAATGAGACAAATATTAATCCATTCTATTAATATAGTGGTCTCGTTATCATTACCGATATGACTCTTTGTACGCGTTCACTTTATTATGTAACGAATTTAATGTCTACGTTGGCGTGCCTAATATAGTATTTAAAGCTTCTATGAGGTATACTCTCCTTATCACATCTGATAGATCCCAGTCATTTGATGAGGTGCGGAAGTTGCTGGAGCAGATTGTCGTGTCAAAAATGTCCGAAGCGGCCTCTGAAAGTCGATACGCTGGGGCGCAAGCTTTAACTCTTCGGCCGCTTGATACGCTTGGAAATGCTGTTGTCTCAGCTCACGCGCTGGCAGCATACGCCTCGACACTTGATATCGGTACGCTAAGGAAGCTTACCGCACACGTCGTTGCAGATACTGGATTTTGGTTGGCCAGGACGTTCAGGTGTGGAACTATAGTCACACATTTTGCAAAAAATCAGCATTTCAAATATTCATGTTGCGAATTTTTGTAAAAAATAGGGTATTTTTGTACATCAAATCAAAATTAAAAAAAAAAAAGATAGACACAGAAAGGATTCTTCTTAACCGGTCAATAAGAAAGAGGCACAATGAATTGGTTGGCGTGCAAAGAAAAAACTGCTCATATCGACGGGACTTACTCACGTGCTTCAAAATCATTCCACTCGGATTAAAACCAACAAATTACCTGAGCAAATTTTAAAATGTAATGTATCTTATTGTTATTATGATCCCAGGTTTCATGATAGTTGTATGTTTTGTCATGACGAGTCCCGCGAAGGTCTTATACGTGTCGTGCAAATGTTACTTCATCTCAAATACGATAAATACGCCGTCGATGCCTATCAGGTAAATCTCTTGGCTGATAGAATGATGTTAGCCACCTTCCTTATAGATTGCTATTAAGAGCGTCAATGTATTTTTACATTGCACAAGATTACATGTTGGTACACGCTAGATGAAGATTCCTTACAATCCTTAATGGTTGGTTTTACTAAGTGAGCTAGCGGTGGCGGTTGGGACCGCAAGATATCCACCGATCCACCGTTCATCGTAACGGAGAGCAGTGAGGTACGTGGTGCAGCCAAGCTTCTTAAATAGCGTCTGTGTGAAGCATTGAGAATTTTCTCCCTCCTCAGTTTTCATAGGGAAAGCTCTAATTTCACACTGTTTTTTACGTCCTATATAGACGTTATATTCAAAGCCTCCGTGTATTTACGTCGGCCAGGCAGCGGAGCAAGAGACCGCACCTGGACGAGCATCAGTGGGACACGCGCTTTGCGCTGCTTTGGGACTGCCAAGGGCATGCCTTAGGGTTATACCATCGCTTAATAACAGCACTGGCTTCAACAAAATGGTATGTATTCTTCAAAATATTGCTAGCCAATAAAATTAACGGTCAATACAATAGCATCACTAAAAAGCTACCCGTGACAGATATCAATGGCCTCCAAACTTAGACCTCGAGATCTTTTCGCTCCTCACCGTACGCTTAGTAATATTTCTTCTCACTGAATTGTCTATTTGTAAAAAAAAATACCGGCCACTTTTGCTTTTCATTAACATTAACACACGTTCTAACAATTTCATATTGACCTGCAATTTGTCACAAGAAACAGATCTTTTGCGAAGAGACATGCGCTCTGGCGGGAGCAATGTCGAATCATAGGACACATGCAATTACCTAAAAATTAAGTGAGTTTGTCTTTTCGACGGCTTCCATATTGGAAAATTACCATGCAAATTAGAATGATATCTAAGAGAAGACTATACTTGCATCAGGTAACTTCTATAATGGCGACTGAATGAGACTATTGAAATTATGAAACATTACCTAGATAACATTCTATAGAAACTACCGCTAAAAACGACAACTTATTGTAAATTAGATCAATGTGTGGGTAATTTACAAACGTGTCAAATAACTTTAGAGAAAATGTGGGAGGGTAGCGCTCGCAGTGATATGGACAAAAAGTCATTAATATCCCTGATAGCGGCAGTCGTCCTCTAGGTCTTGGTCACTGGGTCTCATATCATTTTTTTCCATTCTCTCTCCAAATTGAGTTGCCCAACGCGCTGATTCCGCAAAAATCTGGTGCCGTAATTTTCTTTTTTTAGCTTGAATTCGTGGATAAAATGCTAATAGGTTTCGGTGTTGTAAGTCGTCTCAGCTTCTCAACAAATAGCGGTTGTTTGTAGACAGTCTCTCGCTAAAACGCGAATAGCCAAACTGATTTATATACGCTAGCAGACATTTCCGCCTCCTATAGGTGAATGATCGACCATTTGCGTCTCAATGTGACACCCAGGTAGATACAGTACCGCGCTTCCGAATCTACCGTGGCAAACCTTCATTGCGTCACACGTTCACAGTTTAGTATGAAGTTCGTTGACGTATTTCGAAATTTTATCGAATCGTAACGATCAAAGAGGGGTCGCCTGCATATAGAAGATCGAACAACGGGTATTGCTTCTCGATCTCGTTCGGTAGAACACTGAGAATAATTCAAATTGTCACTTTGAGTTACCTCTATGCTTTGCCCAAAGGGAAATGTTTAGCATGAGCTTTACGACGCTTTGGTGAGATCCGCGTGAACCAGCTTAAAAAACGTAGCAATCCTAAGGGCTATGTTAAATACAATTATGATATACGAGTATTGATGCGGACTGCTAAGGGTACGCTTCAGAAGTGTCGAGCTAACCGGGTAAGTGGATTGTCACGATCCAGTTATTGGATGTTAATGAGCCTAAGGTATTGGGAGAGACTGTTTGTGAAGAGGTAAAACAAGAAAGCTAGTTCACAACGTCTTTGCTTCCAAATATTGCTACTGTTAGTATATAGTTTTTGCCGTTGCACCTGAACAAGGCCAATCCTCGACAAGTATTAAAAAGAAACCGTTAAGTTTACAGATAAGAGGATCTGCTACGGATGCTCATTACGAATCGAACTCTGATCCGGGAGTTGTTGTTACGCGATATTCTGTCGATGACAGCCATATTGTTTTGATTGAGATTAATAGGGATTTCTTTGTTTTAGATCCAATGGAACGACGAGTGAAAAGGGACGAACGGGCTAAAAAGAGCTGTCGCTTTGCCGTGCATCCATTCTCCGCGCGAAAGCAGGCTTCTAGGTGTTTCAGATTCGGGGCAATTGTGTTGTACACATATATATATAACTTATATAACCTATGCGGCGCAAACGATTCTCTATAATCTTTTTGACACTGAGATATTGTGTTATGGAACTGTATAATACATGAAGTTTTTTAGAGCTATCAGCAAAGGTGCATATATGAAATAAGATTTTCTTTCTGTAAAATAGGGAGACGGTGCTCCTGGGACGGCCTGCAGAGAAGAACAACGGTAGAATCCACGTACTTCGACGCATGTAGTTTCTAAGTTTCCGTGAGAACTAACACTTCAACTTTGCTGAAAGCGAGCGGTGTAAAAAATTGTAAACGGAAGCACTTTGGCAGTTGCACCACTTGAAGTTTCTCTCTGCTGCAATTGTAATGATATCTGTAGCGGTCGTCCCGCCCAACTTTTTAACTTCTTACCTGCGCGTTTCGTAAAGCGGCACCGATCACTCGAGAGTGTGGTTTGGGAGTGCGCTTTTTCCTCCTTTTACGAGCTGCTCGAAAAATATTGTTAACGGGCACAGCATTGCCGAAGTTTTGCTTCGGATATCGCGGCTCGTAGTTGCACTCACGTTGTGTATTGTCGGCTACAGTTGGGACGTCATTTCTGTCATTGTGATCGCCCTCTTTCTGACAGCCGTCACGAATATTGACGTCACCTTTGAGCTTTATGTATTAGAAAACCGTTCCGTGTTGAGCGACGGTTGCGGCCAGTTTTTACGCGGTTTCGCCATCGATCTTTGATAGGTAGATTTTCGGTTAGCAACGCAGCTCGCGTACGGGTGAGCTTTAAGAACGACTCAAAGCTATTTAGCTTCAAGAACTCGAATCAGGTTCTCGTCACCCATTCCGCAGCGTAAATGCAGCGAAAGATGACCAGTGTTGCGTCGGGAACTTTTGTTGTCATAACCAGACTAATAAATTGGGGAATTTTCCTTCGTTAGAAACTGAGACACCCACTGGAGCACCATCTCTGTGCTAATTGAACTTGTGATCAGTTCTTTTTGTACAATATGGCAAGTACAATAAAAACAATACAACACAACGGTATTGCGGTAGCCTACAACCCATGCAACTGTAAAATCTCTCGGCCGTTACATGACCAGGGAGAAGAGCATTGGCACGCTCCGGCTTGTTCCTGATCCATGGACCTTTAGACAGCCTGGCTGCTTGACGAACAACTGACACTCTTATTTTAAAGACAAACATTTATAGGACGCCCTGGAAAACCTCGTGTACCTTTAAGGACCTCCGTAGAAGCGAAGCGTGCATTGGGAACTGTTGACTGACACCAGTCAGATTTTATGGAAGATCTTGTCGCTGTTGACTGTCTAGAGATGTGGTTTTGTCACTGACCTGCGAGCGCTTTATTTGGTATGTTGAAAGGATATAGATAGAGGGGAACCTCACGTATAAAGATGTCGTTATATGCCCATACATCTTAAATGATGTGGCGCAGCTTCTATCGTACACAACAGCTATCATCGATAGCAGTCCCGCTGCACGCTTGTTGAATGCTGCATGAAAAGTTTCGTCTGGTTTTGCAGAACATTTCGATATTGGAGAGGCAAATGGAACAAGACCTAAACAAGGGTTGTGTACCGCTGATTGTATTGGCCCAGGCCGGTACAGGTCAATGTGGACAGAAAGAGCACTTTGAAAGGCTATTTCAGTTGTGTCAAGAGCGCAACCTCTGGCTACATGTTGAAGGGCATTCGCTGGCGGCTCTTGCACTTGGGGCGGAAACGAATACAGTAAGTCGCTATTTTAACTTATTATAGTAATAAAACATGCCGGTTATTTGTAGTAAGTGCAAATGGTATCACTAAATTAACTGCGCATATTTTAAACCATAGTCGAGCTGTACGCGTCAATTGAAAACAATTTTATATTGCCTTTGGCTTTAGCAATTGCGATGTGCTGACTCGATGACGCTCCCGGTAGGAAGCTGGCTGGGAGTTCCCTCATTGCCGTACGTGACCCTGTATCGGCAACATAATTCAGCCTTGGCTCACGCTGCTGGACTCACTTTATTTAATATCCACTCAAAACTTCACTGCCTTCCATTATGGGCCACTCTACAGTGCCTAGGACAGAAGGGGCTTTTCGACAGAATTGCTCACTGCTTCAAACAGGTAATCGCTTTAACTGAGTGATTTACTTATTAAACGATAGGCATGAGTGTCTAATAATAACAGTATTTCTTATCCAACTAAACTGATTGGTCTCGATTACAGTCGGACTTGCTGGTTACTACCTTGGAGTCGATAGGTCCCTGTATAGAGATAATAGGGCGGTCCCGTTTTGCTGCTGTTGGATCTAATGCTTCTACTGAAGACCATATTTCTGTAGTGGAACGGGCCGCTCGTGCTACAAATCCTGTGGCACTATTTGACGCTGTGCAGCCTATTGTGACTTTCCGTTTCCGACAAACGTTTCCCTCTGCCGCCGATGCCTGTACGTTCAATTAACTTTGTACGACCAATTTAGTGGCTTAGCATGTACTTTTGTGAATCTATAATGTTTACGACATCTTGCATGCGATAGACGTTAGTTATTAGAATGATTTTTTTGTCGTAGACAATTGCGCTGCTTGCGGCAGTACTTTTTATGGGGTGATTACAAATGCAGTGTAGGTATATTTGTTAACAAATGGCTTGTACTCAATAGAAAAAATTGGATCTTTTTTTCTGCACAACTGAAGCCAAAACAATTTTTCAGCTTCTGATTACAGTAATACGGACAATGAAAAAGGGATGCAACTCTCCGAAAGCTACATGAATAATCTCAATCTATGGCTCGGACAGATGGTCAATCGTGAGGTTCCACAGGTGACTATCGAGCTAACTGAAGTTGAAGGCCATGGTATCTGCGTCAAATTCAGTCCTCTCGAAAGTGCACACCGTATGTATATGTACTCCATCGCTTCTTGAAAAATAAGTCATTCCTATCAAACGGTACGCCAAGTTTTTGTAAAACCCTAAATGTTGAGTTCGATCGTTGATCTAGAAGGCTGTCGGTGCTATTTTCACAAACGATGTCGAGACCATGTTGTGCTATCCCAGTCGTTTGGAGAAGTAATATATGACGTATATCTGCCTATCTTCCAAATCTTCCAGTTCAAGGTACCACGATGTGCGATATGGAGAACTTCTGTAAGACTTTGGAGGGGCACGTAGCGATTCTATCAGCTATGGTTGTTCATAAAAAGAAGTTTCACCGTCTTCTAGCTGGTGACCACCACGAATTTGGCCGTTATCTAGAACTTGTAGAAATTAGTGACTGGGCTGGATTAGGTGGGGTAAGATATATTCCTGAGGCATGGGCAACTACACCCGCCTCTGTCGATCAATTGAAAGGCAAAAGAGAAGCTGCAAATAGCACAATCAGTAAAACAGTACCGATGTCGGAGTCCGACCGTGATCTGATCAATCAAGTCAACCAGCAGCTCGTGGCCAGACTTCGAGCATCAGATTCTGCGTTTTCATTAGGTGAGTTGCACGCCTCTTGTGCCTTTAGCCAATTTTCTTTACATTTGCGGGCCATTATCCGCCATTTGTGCGCTATACGACGAAATTGTTATATGGTTGAAATTGTCTATTTACTACAGTAATTAAGTGGTCGAGCCTTAACAAGAGATCATGCGGTGTCTGTTTAATGTAAGTTCGCACAATAATATTATGCTTTACTGTAGGTGAGGGCGCAAATGGGTTGGTGTGCATACGTTTTGGGATGGTAACAGAGGACCTGGCAGTGGAAGAGCTCCTGCACATGGTTCTCGCTGCAGGTCGGGAACTTGAGGAAAGTTGTAAACAGCTGGAAGAGATGTCTGAACTAGTCCGGCAGGCCGTCGAGGAGGCCAATGCAGCACTGGAACGAGAGAACGAGGAGCGTATCTACCAGGAAGGATTGCTCAAGCATGTGCCGATATTCGGAAGTCTTCTCCAGTGGTGGAGCCCACCTAGCGACGAAGGGGCCGGAATAAAGGTATTAGCAAATGTTGTCTTTTGTTAATAACATAATAATCGGATGATTATGCCGTATGTTTAGACCAAAATATAGAATAATAAGTGGCTTGTGCTCTTCAATAGGGCCGAAGTTTCAACCTGACGTCGGGTATGGTGGAAACCACGGAGAACACGTATAAATACCACATGCAGATGAAGAGTGAGGCCCCTGCACCAAACACCCCGCCGCCTCAACAACAAATTCAGATACAAACGGGCAGCGGAGCGGGAATAGCTCAACGGGTAGGAGCACCATCGCATCCTTCGGCGCAGAGTTCACAGACAATCAGCGCAGCGCAACAACAGCACGCACCATTATCACCGCATTCGAGAACAAATTCACAAGCAAGTTACTTTGCTTTGTAAATTCTTATTATTTCATCGTTGCTTTCGAAACGCAGCCGTTTATGTGAATAAACATTGTCTAGATTTAAGTATCTACGCGTGCAAAACGAACTTAACAAATATAGTATGTTAGGCATGCATAACTGTGATTAACATTGAGACAAGCTTGTTTTAATGTCTTTTCAGGGGTCTCAACGCTCGTAGGCACCTTCACCATGAACATGCACTATTTAAATGCAAAGTAATCATAAGTAGAAGCCAGCGTTAGTTTTTTGTTTCTTTAAGGAGTTATGAGAGGAAAAGTTACTGGGAGCGTTTATTGTGGAAAGCTTAAAGTGGGTCGAGGATGGCTTTTTTCAATTAAGTTTGAACTGGATTGTGTAGTGATTTTTTGCCGACTTAGGGATCTACTGCATGCAGTAAATCAACGAATGCGTTGCTCTGACTAGCGTTGACCTGCCGATACCTACGGTATGAAGGAACCTGAGCCTTCGGATGTATATTTAAGCTATTACACAGTGCCTTCGAGATACTTCGACCTGTGAAACAGAAGCCGCTGTAATCACGTTGCACAGCGTAATATATTCGGAAGACACTGGGCATGTTATTTAGACGTGTTACTGGGATATATCTTTATTTCTACTTTATACACGGTTTGGCAATTGAGGAAATTGAACCATGTAGAATGATGGATCTAATGAGGACATTTGTTAGTTCTATCAACCGTTAGTAGAATCAAGGATTCGTCGAAGGAGTTTTTTTGATTTGAAGCGTAGTCTTGATTTGTCGGAGTCGACGGCGCAAACCGATGGATTTTAAATAATGACAACCAAATGAACATCTCTATTTAAATACACATGGTCTCTCGTTGATGATATTATATAATAATAACTATTTTGCAGTGCGAGATAAATAAATCTGTCACATATGTAACATTTACTTGAATCTCTCGAAAATTATTATTTCTCTATTGTTATTCAACTATATATATATAATCAATAAACTGGATTATATCTAAGATTCTGGGAATTCTATTTAAAATTTGTCGTGAGAACACGGCTCTACCGGACAAACACCGACGAAGCCAAGGCTGTGTATTTTTTTTTTTCGGTTATTGATTATGACTTTGGTTATGGGCTGCTTGTAGCTATGCGGGCGGCAAGCCAGATTCAATACAATTGGGACTGAGCTGTTTAGCTAACGAGCGTTATATCGCATATAGTGTTGGCCTTTACGCGTGGTTCATTTGTGGACCTATACATAAAAGATAACGTTGTATAGTACGTTTGTAGCCGTTGCCTGTTACAATAAACGAGACCACTTTGTTAAATGTCGACATTTTGATCATTGCGTCGTATGCTGCTTTCATATTGAAAGACCAATATTGAATTTTTACTTTTCTCCTCACTCCTTTCGTTTTATTCGCCTATTTTCCCTTTATAAAAGATGACGTAAACTTATACTAGGCGCTTGAATGGCCCGTACTGAAAAATTAAATTTCTTCTTGAACCTTCTATTCGTTCCAACACTTAAAAACACAGAGGCTTGAAAGTTGAATTCGATGACTAAAGTATGACCATTTAATTGAATTTAACATAAAATATTGTCGAGTTTATTCATAAGCCAGGCTTAAAGCGTCCCCTTAGGTAATAACTTGCTTAGGTCCTAGGTCCTTTTTGCGACCTCCTCTATCAAATTTACAGTGCCACCAAATAGGTCTTTCATGCTCTTGTTACTGATCATAGTACGTTCTTTGCGAAGCTTTACAATCAAATATGTGACGTACATATTGCTTAGTTGGAGTAGAATGGCCCTATTTTAACCGAGTATTGTAGGTTTCGGTCCTGTAACCACTTTTTTATGGTTGTTCATATGGTGAAAGTTAGATAAAATTTTGTCAGGTCTACCATCCGCGCGTTTTCCGAAACCGCCAGGTGGGCCTAGGTATTGACTATTAGTGTTCAGGTCGCCTGGGGCGTGACGAGGCACGTAAATCATGAAGTTGAAAGGGCATCGAAATTACTCGGGCGTCGTTAGGCGGCACCGAAAGCAGAAACATTTAAGAGTTTTGAGGAGATTCAGAAATGAAAACATTCCTTGATGGGCTTCACAAGGAAAAAGCGTTTCAGGAAGTTTTCGTAGCGTGAGAAGAAAATAGCCCTTGTACCCTCAGGGAGGAAACGAACGGAACTCATCGCAGGTGCCTCATTCCGGAATACAGACACCCCAGATGTTCAGATTCGTTGGTTTTGTCCCATGAATCTGAAAGTAGAGGGCTAGAAGGGAGCTTCAAAGGAAACCACCCCATTTCGGATTCAGTGTGGTTTTTACGTGTCGCGTTTCTCAGTTGGAACCGTATTTCAAAACCCTTCGCATAGTGAGAACTAAGTGCCAATAGTGACACTATTTTCTGATAATGAAGTTCTTTACATTTTCAAGGACATTTATAGCCGCGATACTTCGTTGGATATTCCAGAACTGTATGGTAGCATGTAATGACAATTCACCTCGCCAGCGCAGGTACCGTCTGGTGCTATATGAAACAACTCTTGATCGGGTATTTCCGATTCGGTAAGCGTTTCATTCTCAGAGCGGCCTCATTTTACATGTTGGTGCTTACTTTTATGCAAAGTTTTGGAGAATAGCCAAATAAAGCACACGGTTAAGATGAAAAGGCCACTTCGCCCGGCAATCGGTTTTAATGGGCGCTTTCTAGTTACGGCCTTCTACCTTATTGGTGCGTAGGTTAGCAATGACGTCGGGACGTTTGAGTAGCGCGTATAATTGCTGGCTTTATCATTGTATAGCAATAACCCAGTACCCATCTATAAAGTTAAATCACAACTTCAAACGCAAGTTAGTTTATAGGAATACTATTGCTGCGCCACGGTGTTTCAATTTTTTTTAAGACAGATCTTATAACATGTTTCTATAACTGTGGTATCCCTCACACGTGTTGAGGATAATGTCACTGAGCTAATTTCGTACATGTTTTTTCTCTTTGTCTAGAAAAGTTAATTTTAACACCTCAGATTTGAAATTACTATACAGTAGAAATGCTTAATAACTCATCTATTATATCCTATCTGAAACTCACTGTCTACGATTTCAGTGACAATTATTTTATCTTGAATGCTCAGTATTGATGTCCACATTGTGAACGCATCTGGTTCTAGTTTTTTGTAAGTTATGCAGCAGCTTTTGAAGATCTTTTCTGGACTGTGTGATTTAAAAAAATGTTTATAACATTAAAATTTTTCAGTCAGCTTTGTTTGCCACAATTCATATTGAATATAATTTTATGAAAAATAAAAAAAAAATTGAAAAACTTCATATTGTGATTGTATGATGGATATTATCTATAGAATAGGGATGGATTTCGGAGTGAGCAGTAACCTTGTGTGTTCTCCTATTTTGGAACTGTCCAGTGGAGCGTCCTCCTTCACCCAAAACAAGCAGAGGCATGTTCTGTATCGCATTATCGATAGCCCGACCAAGTAAAACCGTTAATCTGAACGATGTTGATTAACTACAATACACTGCAGCTTATAAAGTAACTCACGTTTATAACGAATTGGACGCAAATTTACATTTTAAACAAATTTTTCATCTTACGTATGTGTATGCCAGAAGACATGAACAGACGCGTTGTTACAACGGCAAAAACCTATTCTGATCGTTGCATCGGACCACTGATTTCCATGGCCTTAACCATATGCCATATGTACACATTGGCGAAAGTATTCTGATCCTGTTTTGATTTAATGGTCCTAATAATCTCATTCAAGGAGCAGTTTATTACTTTTCTTTACTGGATAATATTTTCGCCAAGCTCATAGATGGTTTCCTGCACTTCCAAGATGCCTAGGTTTCCAAGGTAAAAGTGGCTTCCTGAGAACTGCGATCTATCCTCTGCCTATCGTCACGAATAGTCTCACAAAAAGATTTCCTGTTGAAATCAACATAGACTGCGTTACCAAGTGGCAACAGTAGGTAGGTACTGATATTTTTCTGTCCACTACTAATTAATGATATTTCCTAGACAAAATACTTGCTTTTTTAGCGTAACTAGTGTGCGTATACGGCAGAATAAAGCTGTGCCTATACTGTATTTTTAAGCAACTGGTCAGACTAGTCATTCGGATTATATATAATTCGAACATGTGCTGTACAAGACTTGCACATTGAGTAACGTTTTATTCCTTAGACACGGTAGCGAATCAAAGTTTATCACAACGTCACGCGTTGACGCAATCTTCTTTCCGTGGCAGAGACGTCTGCCCGAGTAAATTATTGTAAACCATATCCCATTTGCAAGAAACTTGAGCTATTCAACGTCCAGTATCTGAACCGTCATGGCAGAATTATTCTCAAGGTAGCTTTTTTAAATTTTCAGTATCGATATCAAATGGCCGCAATGCGACATCGTTGTTCCAGAAGGTGATCGTACGAATTAGTATCTGAACCGCGCGTTCTACACCAATCATTGCTACTGAATAGAAATAGATGGTGCACATCATCATGGACTTCACCAGAGTAAGGTACACGCCTAAAGCTAGTCGCCACCAGAAAAATACAACTTCATTGTATTGTACGGATGGCCTTATGTATCTACGGCTATGATTTATTAAATTCGAATAAAGGAACAATGCTAACAGTAGTGTGATCTTGTTCTATAATCTTTTAATACTATCATACCCTGCAGAGTTTCGAGCGTTGACTCTGAGAAAAGGTCTACTGTTATCGTCGCCTACGTCATCGTCATAAATATCACGATCTGTACAGTTCTATTAATCGAAACGAGTGCTTATACCCTTTGACGTTCCGTTACGTCGAACGTAACGGAACGTCATAAACGAACGTCATATCGACAACGATTTGCAGTTTGTTAGACGCATGATACCCACTAGGAGATTGTTTTTCTCTATGTGTTTGTGAATTCTATCACGTCGCAAGGTATATAAAAAATAAATGAATGGCATCACTCTACATCAATGAAGTTGCAATATTACGCTCATAGCCGCCAAAAGGAACATGAAATATGCTTCACCCCATTGAAGACACTTTCTGGGAGAGCCAAAAAAATTGATTCCAGTTAATCATTATTGTGCGCGCAGGGGTATGAAGTCTACGTCTAGGAATCTGCCGTGATGTTCATTCTTCGGTAGAAAGTGATTTTTCAAACGTCATCGTACGCGACTGATGATATAGTTACCGCCATGCATCAAGCGCCTAAAAGGCACCAATTTACTATTGCCTTAGCAAAGGATTTTTAGAACATCAGGCATTATTTATATTATTTTACTAAATTTTTTGCTAATTTTCGACCGCACAAAGCAACGACCAGAATGAGCTCTACACCATCGTATTGTATATAGACATCGTTCCGTTTAGTTCTGTCAGTAATGGAAATTTACTAAAGGTCTGCAGCTCTTGATTTGCACATGGAACGAATTTATAAAGGCACGCGTTCATGAAATGGATAATTATCAGCGTTAGTTAATAAGGAAAATAACTGGACTTTTGTCGTTATTGTACACACCGTTTATTTCAGAATCTACAGGCAGTACCAGTGGAAGGAGGCGTCGTCGCTCTCAGTAACTACGCAGTTGAATAGTACATCTCGCTCAGCGTATTTATATACAGACTATTGGTAAGATAGGACTCAAGTTCTTGCAGAATCTCTCTGGCTACCAAGGTAATTGTAATGAATAACGGACCCGACCCGGATGACTGAGGTGGACCACTTTATAGGAAGGGTGGTTAAAAGCGTTAAGAATGTACATCTTACAGTCAATAAAATGATTCTAATCTAGAAGGTCCTGATGCACGGATCCGTGTTAACGGCATCGCACATCGTTACTTGTTTTTGATAGTTGTTTTTTCAGGCTCGTTTCGTATTGTGCTCACACTCGTATGCACTAGTACTCAGGAAGTTACCATTTGTGCTTTATATCTGTGTGTAATGTGCGCATATAATACAACGTGGATTTTGCCTGATTCCAGAACAGTAGCTTCTGTCAATAGGTCAAACTTTGTCAAGCACAACCGAATTAATATTGCGTTGTTCATGCGACTCATTGATATCACACATGCGTAACTTAGCGTCATCCCTTATGCACAATCTGTCAAACTTATCTAATCGATAGAACGGTTGTTTCTATGGGCGTGTGATTGAATCGGCTATTTTCTTGTTCTGGTCCTTCAAATGCCGTTGGGTTTCTCTACTTCTTTTAGATATGAAGTATTAGGGCTGTAATGAAAAATGGTCATATTTAGACAAACTGAGCAAAGCAAAAAATTGATAGTCGTAGATTTTAACTATAACAGCTCATTTCATTAGTTACATGACGCTTATAGAATCCGGATTGGTATCGATGGTTTTTGGCACGTAGTGCGGACTCGTAGAGTGAATTTTGATCTGCGCTGGATCTTGGTTGTCCGTCCCTGAAACGACACCGTTAGGAAATGACATGTGTTCATAGAATAAAAATACAGAATTGTTCCTTTTGACTAGCTTCAACAGAATTTCTAGACTTTAGATCATAATCTTATCTCAACACAACTAGGTAGTTAGCTGCGTCACATATCTATATCTCTCTCATGCGAACATTCTGTTTAGGACTTATACTTTCCGGATGTTATTACGTATTAGAAAGACGAAACAACTTACCTTGCTCATTCGTGACTACACTAGCTCGAAAACCGTTCTCGTCTGCCACGTACTTAACGAGGCGCTTCCTTCCATCAGGATCTTCTATCGTATAGAACCCAGTGACACGGCCCATTCCATCGAACTCTTCGTGTCTGGCAATTCTACCGCCTAAGTATCGATCGTCAAAACCGAATTTATATGGCGAAGATACAGGACGGTCGTTTTGAAGTTGAATGCTAGCGGGAACATGAAAATCAGAATCGTTTATAAATCGAGGCAGCCTGTAAATCAGAGCACAGAAACAATCAATCTTCATTCATTCATTATCGTTAACACACTATTACTAAAGTAAACCAACAATATAAACCCACTTGCAGCATCATCGTATCTAAGCATCCACTATTCATTTTTTATTGAAGCAAGTACATTGCGTACTTGACCGTTACGTCGACAATTTACTGAAAAGAGCTATAGTTACTGTTGTATTAAAAATCAAGTACCTACCCGATTTTGTTCGGCTTACGGGTCGTCCTCCCTAGCATCCAAGGAGCTTTTTCGTTCAAGTTGGTTTCCGGACTCACTGGCGTATTTACCGACAAATGCGGCTTTACAGAAGACAGTCGTGCTGCGGAGTCAATGCGGGGCGGTCGTCCCGACATCCCGAATGCTACGGGTCCTTTTGAGATATTTTTCAAATGAGCATTATCAGCAGTGCGATCATCAAATGTGAACAGCCGACTGTTAGCATGTGCGTAAGTGGTGCCAGTAGAGGATCCCGTGTGCGGGGGCTCGGTGTTGCCTGAGACCGGGCCCTGCATTTCTTGGCGAATACCGGTTTGTTTCACGTAAACGTTATTGTTTCCAAACATGTTATTGGGCTTTTGACTGCGTGATCGATTAAACAAGCTCTCTGGGTTTCTTTCAGGCAGATGAGCGAGATTCTGGTTCGGTGATTCTCTCGGAGACAAACTCGACTGATTACGTACTAGACCAATAATCGATGCTGTTGTAACACCTGCTACTGAAGGTATAGGGAATCCTGGAAGGCGAGGTCTTGCTGTAGTGGGCACTGGTAGACCAGTTGTAGCAGACGATTCTGTCGCAGCAGGAACGTAATACTTCGAAGGCGAATGACGTGGTTCTTGTCTGAGAACTGGAGTTAAATCCACTGTAGAACAGGTAGGAAAGATGAGCCGTATATTAGGATTACTCAAATAAACCATGTCTAACCTATTGACATCATTTATTCGCTTTTAGTGGAATCAACTGTGAAATTATTGTTAAGCTTGCATACTAAACTCACAAGGATTGTTGGTCGTCGTGAAGAGGCTCTTCTGCTTTCTCTGATTGATAAGTGATGGGAGATTGGCATTAGCACCGGAGCGGAAATCTGGCCTATCGTATGGAGTTTTTAGTTTAGGTACGCCATTGCTAAATCCGAAGTCCGCAGGCGCGGGCGTATATGTTGGCAGATTAGGATAAATCTGGTCAAGGTTTGCTGGATTTACCGAAAAAATTCGCTGAGGTTTTAAGCGACGCCTTCGGGAAATTTTCCGTTTTGGTGGAGGTAAGGGCTGTCGATTCAGGCCTATCATTTTCTGGTCCAAATTAACTGGTGCAATTTCGCCATTGTAGAAGCTCATAATACCAGACGGTGTGGTATAAGCATAATTATTTAGAGAAATCTCGCGTGGCTGAGGTATATAAACTTGATCTGGACGCAGTCGGGTACCAAAGGAAATCCCAGCATTCTCCTTGTGGGTGCCTTTACTGCTCGGGGTAGCCACCGTGGAAAAAGTAGGTACAGGGGGAGAAGGAGGCTGAGGGGTCGAAACTGGTCGTGAGCCGTTTCGCAAGTCGGGGTTTGCTGGGGGTCGGGTGTGAGGCTGTAGAGCATAGGGATCTCGGGGAGCTGGGACAGGAGCAGGGCCGAGCTCAGCAAAGTTGTAGCTAGAATGGCAAGTTGGTGAGATCGATCGGCTATCAAAAGTTTTGAACAACCTCAACGACCAGAGAAAGAAAACATTTGCGATATGGCGCTAGGTAAATATAATCATTAAAGACGCTCGGATAGTTTCAGATTATTTTTCTTCGCTGACGAATCTGTCGTCATAAAATAGCTTTCAATTAGCTAAGCGATAACAGAAAATTGTATTAACTAGCCCATTGAACCGACCTCTAATAAAACAGATCATTATGAAAAAAATATTATTGAAGTATGTTTCCGATTATATATGTACTCATATGCATGGCAAAGTTGCCAAAGGGTGAGTAGCTCCGAGCAGAGTTGCGGAAATGAAGGCAGTTTGGGCTCGCAGTTTATTCTAGTTGTGTGCATATTAACAAGAACCCTAATAACCAGACTTCTGTATTGTTTTCTAACGGAAGCCTGCTAAAGGTGAAATAGTTTTGCTACCAGTCTAACAAATGTGGTAGTTAAGAAATGGGTGGCTAGTCAAAAGGTAGACGGCAGAAAGGGTCTACCTGGAGATGGTAGGGGGTGTTGCTTCTGGGGTGGGGAGAATCGATATGTCGGCTGTGGGCACATCGACGGGTCGCTGCTTCCTTCGACGCCTGCGGCGAGTAACCCTTTTTACTTCAAACGACATGAGATTAGCATTATTAGCAGGGCTAAATGATTTTAGTTCGGGTGTAGGAGAGACTGTTGTAGGAACTGACGGCAATCTGGATGGACGTGAACCGGGTTGCGTCGGTGTCACTGTCTCGCCTATCAGGCGAGCATTAAGATCGGGGGCATTGGTTTGCTTATTGAAGTCACTCAAATGATCCTCCTGATCCTGTGGGTTATATATAACCGACGGAAAGAAGTTTCGGGGCGCATAGCCACTCTGCAGTGTGTTGCTACCTGTGATTTAAGCCATTGTAAAAGGATAAAATTTAAAGTAATAATTTGTTCCTGACATTTATCTCTAAAATTTGCTAGGAAATCTATCAGGAGAGAATTTATAAATACAACGTTGTAAACAATCAAAACAGAAGACTAAATTTCATACAATCCACTCTTTGAAAAAATTATCTCATGTACTAAACTAGCAAATATAAATAAAAGGGGATTATTATCGTATGTTAGTTGAAAACTAGCGACTCTAAAAGTGAGAAGGAAAGAAGATTCTGTCGAGCTGGTAAGTTTTAGAGTGATTTTTTCATAACTTTCTCGTATACCGTTATGGCCGCGTAGGCTTTTCTGGTGCCGAAGAGGTTCGTCATTGATAGGATCATAGCTTATCTTCTGAGGTTCAGGACCCCCAATTACCACTCCGTTGTCGTACATCCGCAGCAGAGGTTGTGTTGGGTCCAACTTACGAGAACCGCGTGCTAAAACAGAACGTATTTGATGTAATATCGTGGACAAGACATTGGCTTAGCAAGCCGGAAATATGGGTCGATTCCACCATCACGCATTAGATGACTTTCACGTTAACATTATCGCCATATTGTAAAATTTAACAGAAGTTTTCTAATAGTAAAAGATGCTTAATCTTGATCAAAATTATTTTTATATAATTGTACTTATCCCTGTAAAATATTTTGCTTCTAGAGGATCCAGTTAGAAGATTCACTAACCAGGCGTTGTAGGACGTCCTCTTCCACTAAGTCGATCATTTGGAGAGGTTCGTTCAGATCGAGAGTGGATAGAGAAATCTGATGTAGGGGCCGAAGTGGTCGAAGTTTGGTGATACGATACTTTTTCGCCTGTTGTCTGAAATATGGGTGGAAGGGGAGTTGCACCAGGTGGGCCAAAGTGCTTTATCGGGGCTGGATTTACTTCTGTTCCAGGGCCTGTGCGAATCGCCTCTGAAGCGGGTACTTTTAAATTCGGAGATATAACAGGTTCACCGAAGGCACGGGCTGCTGGATGCTGAGCCTTGGACATTGATTTGACGTTGGTCAGGTTTTCTCGAGCAGGGACGTTTGGTTGATGTGCTTGTCTTCGAGACCCAAACTGATTTGGTCCTACAGGTATTCGGGTGTTGCGGTCAAATGGTCTTGCGGGCTGGACAATAGACTGCACAAGTTGGGCACTCGGAAATCGGACATCAGGTTGTGGCGGAGTACTTAGATGGCCCGTATTCTGCCATGGGTTTTGAGGAACAACAGGACTATGTGGAAACGATTGTCCCATTAGTGACCCGAAAGTTAGCTCAGGGACTTGTTCTCTAATTACATTTTGATTCTGGGTAGGCTGATAGTGTCTGGATGGGACTTCAGAATGAGAGTTAAATTTTGGTGCAGAAGCGTCTTCAGGCTGTTGGGAAAGCTGTGCAGACGGCAACCGTCGGTGTGCATCAAGTGGATTGAACTCTGGTGTTCCCTTCGGTGCTTGAGGTGACAACGGCTCATGTACTGCGGTGTGCTGGTATTTAAAACCAGCTCCATGATAAGGTTGCCGGTAGAAACCTGGCTGACGTTGCACTTCGTCCGAGGGATCAACTAAGAGTCGAGGTTCCGTTATGGAGCCGTTGAGCACGTGCCTCTGCTGCTGAGGAAAACTCTGATCGTGAGTAGCGTATCCTGGCTGCGTTACTGTGCCATCAGAGAATTTTCTGCCAACACGGTTCTGTCCAGGAGCAGCCGTTTGATGAGAGGGATTCGGCGGAACTGTCATTGACACATGGGGCCTAGGACTGGTTTGGAATTTGTAAGGATCCTGGTAGATTGTGCCTTGCAAGGAAGATTTTGACTTAGGACTTTGGGACGTAAACGTTTGACGAGAACTCTGGGTTGTTGTTGGATGCGGGCTATTTTGGGGTGTCTGATAATAATGCGGGGTTTGAGCAGGCTCCTTTGGTGGTGGCGATAAAACGAGTGGGCTATCGTCAACGAAGTGTATTGGTCGCCTTTTTAGATCTTCTATGTCCACTGAAACCGGCACTTGATTTTGTACCCTGGGTGACGCAAGTGTTCTCGTCCTAAAGGGCGCTGGTTCTTCAAGATAGACCGCAGGCACATATGATTGGCACAAAACGTTAAGTGAAGCATTTTTATTACTACGAGAATCACTCGCAATCACTAGAAAACTATTCGTGATCGATCGGTATTTCAAACTCGCTTAATTTATTAACACACACGGTAAAACGTGTGGTAAAAAAGCTCGATTGGGTCAATGTTGGATCAGATTACTAACCCGTGCTGCGAAGGTCATGGCCAAGGTAGAGCGTAGGCCGAGGTCCCCTTTCAAGAGGCTTATCTAACTTAAAAACATCTCCCTGGCCGACTATCTTCGGACTGTCAACATTTACAGGGTAAGCTTGATACTGAAAATTAATCAATCGAATTAGTGAATTAACTATATTCCCGAAATGGTATTTATTATTGGGCATTCGTGAGTCATGTTAGCTTTATAGCACTGTTTACTCAAAACTATATTTAAAAAAGAATTACATTGCGCACTATTAACTCAAAAAATCTGGTACATTTTTACACCAAGTTATATATTAATGTATTAACGACTAGGATAACTGAGTGGTATCAGAGAACGATGAGTTTTGAACCAAAGTTATCGTTTCGTGAGGGAAATCGTTGCTTAGTAAGAGCGCTAGTCCAATTTTTCAAGGATTTGTAGAGAAAGGTTTTCAGCGAAACGACAGTTTCTTGCTACCAGTGCAAAGTGTAGAGATAGAGGAATTTGAAGCCATAAGAGAAGTGAGTATGACTCAAGACCTCAAGCGTCAATCATCATAACACCTAAGGTGCTGTGATGACAGATGCCTTCGAATAAAGTAGATCGTAAAACGTGCACTTCCTGCCGGCTTAGTGTAAATTCCTCGAAGCAAGTGTTATAAAGTTGTCATGGAGCCACTGTGATTAACGCAGAGAAACGAAAGGTGAATTCCTTACAAAGTGGGTTCACGGTAAATAAAAAAAAACACGTGTAAGGGTCTCTATGAACGATTTATGCAACCATTAATAGCATACAAAATATATACGACAACACAGCTTGAGGTCCTTTCATAGAAGCTGGGAAAAAAGTTCCTGTACCTCAAGAAAGTTTCCTTTCTGACCTTCTGTTACTTGTTGTTTATTTCTGATATACCATTCCAAAAGTTCCGCTGTATCACCGTGGTGTAACCAGAGCAGTCGTAAGAGTAATTTCAACCCGATAGTATCGCTTAAATATGGGTGTTCGAAGTGGAAAGGTGCTTCTTCGCCAATGATTTGCAATAAACAATAACACAACGCAGGCATGAAAAGCCGCACAGAATTTTTTGACAATGAAGTACCAAGACACTATATCATATGCCCAATTGAGTTCAGTCTAGTCTATTTTATATACCTACATTAACCTAACTCCGAATTGTTTACCAGGTAATAAGTCGCATGTTAGCAGCGGGTATAAAAGTCTATCAAAAATAATTATATTTGCGGTAAGTGCCCCCCTTTGCGTCACACTCATAACTGCATTAAAACAAGTCTGTCGTTAATGAAGCCGCACTGTTCATTATTCAACAGCGTTTTAAAAGAAGTAACAACAAGCTTTTCGGAAATGATGCGAGGGATTGATTCTTGCTTCAGAGGCTTGTAGTTATCAATGTCATATGTTTTTTAATTTTGCGGTGACTTTTGGTTTGGAGTGCCTCACAGCTTCCGACTTTGGAATTTCCACTACTACCACGAAGACTGTGGGGTGCGCGAGCTCGGCCTCGTAGCCATGGAATGTCTACCTGTCTCCTCAACATTTTTTTTCAAGTTGTATTTTTCCTTTCATAGGAGACATCTCTTTTTTCCAATATATGCTATTAACGATCTATGGCCCCAGGTCACAGCTGTCGACCTAGCTATGTAGAAAAATTTAAACTTATAATAAAATGACATCAGCCTTGCTACCGATTCATCTACGCATAGAGCTGTTGATATCAAACTTCCTTAATTTCTTTGTCTGTACAAGTAAGATCCAAGCATTGTAGAATACGCCACCTTCAACGTAACTGAGGTAGAGAGTAATGCCGTTAGGCTTGACCAAAACGAAATCGGCGCTGGCGTAAACAAGTGAAAGAATTTTTTATTCCTTACCTTTCTATCGGGACTGGTATCAACGTCGATTGGTTTATAACTAACGACCTTTAATTCATCTGTATCGACGTGGGCACGGAATCCATCTTTACCAGCCTCGTAGACAATTCTGCGCAGCTCGCCATCATGGCCGCGAAGGTAATACTCGCCTTTTACCTACAATGCAACAGACAAAATACTTGGGCTTAAGTGTTTTTGAAAATTTAAGTAAGTAAGAACAGAGGAACACGCGGCCACGAGCGTATACAATCACTAGCGTCTAGTACGAGTCGATCTTAGGGAAATGTGTGCGCAACTCTAGGGCATCGACATCCAGATACACCAGGATCGTCTTTGTCAAACCCCTACTAGCATTTTATCGACAGAGCGCGTCTTCGAGTTCAAACAAAAGAACCTGTAGTTAGTACGATAAAGCTTCCTCTTTATAAACACACCTGATATATTTTATATGCGCGTCAGATGCACGTGAGGGAGTGAGGCTGCGTTTATGTGGTATAACGCATATTTATAAACACAGAAAATAACAAATAACGTGCATGAAATCTGGTTAGTTTGGCGTGTATTTACTCATACACTTGTGATGGTTTTACTTGACGTATTTTTTTTTGCGTTACGCGATACAAAATGGTTTTCAAAACATGGACAACGGATTTCTTCGAAATTTTCGTTGATATATTTGGTGCAAGTTTACATTTTAATTACTTATAGAACAATGATAAAATTGACCGGCCAGGCCCGACATCGTCGATTTAACATACACATTAATTCCATAAACTACCCCGTCCAGTTGGAGATATTTAGTATTTGCTGTCATCGTATATTCAAACAATTAACACTAACAGACGCAAACCAAATTGACGTTACTGCATGATCATTACTGGTACGTAAAAAGAGTCGATTGAGATAAAGGTATACGATCAATCTTCATGGAGCAGGCTGGAATCGTTGGCGTAGCCTGAGGCTCGCGTGATTAAGACTTCGATATTCTACACTCTGTGTTCGCGGTTCGACAATTGCCCTATACAAAATCGTTTCTTTGTGGGCCTCAAATCGAATTTGCCCTCTCTGAATGAGTTACAGAATATTAAGACATATATAGAAGGCAAGAAAGATGCAAAATTGAAGCAGCATAGAAAACATTAGTAAGAAGCGGGACGCGTGTTCGCGACATAGGTAGGTATATTGTCGGACGACATGCATCTATATCTACGTAAAATATTGTGTATTGTACGTTAGTATTTTATCGTTCTGTCCGTGGATTGACGTTTCTATCAGTCACATCGCGAAAGCTCGATGCGACTACTTCGAGTGTGACGAAGTAGTTGGCTACTAAATGCTTGCTTTGCATATAATCATCTTTGTGGTTATATCATTCTGTGGCCAGATTTTTTTTATTTGTGATCATCACAATAGTCATACAATAATAAATACAATACAAAGCTAGATTCTTGGTAGAATAGTTCAATTAGAAAAGATGAGCTAGCATTTAAGCTGTCGAAAAACGGCACACATGTTGAACTCCCTAATAGGAATTGGAAGGTGTGTTATACGGGGGCCGGACACGCCTTTTTTTTTAGGCACGGTCTGACCTGTACCGACGCGGTTTGTAGATTCAGTTGCACCGCTCTTTTGCGCATGATCACGGTTTTGAGAGCGCCTATGGAGAGCGTCACTGAAGCTGTACTCGTATGGTCGGAAGGAAACATCAGGTGCAGAAAATTTGGACAAGTTGACCCGGTTCGAGCGATCAGGAAGCAGCAGGAGCTACAGAAAGACAATAGACAGCACAGGCCAAGAGAGGTTTTGGAGGTAAAGGGGTTAAACGTTACAGCCACTTCAGCAGTACGTACAACTTACACATGTCGTACATATTTTGGAGTATAACAATAAATTAAGGAACAACAAGTGGTGTAGATGGATTCTGCGATCGGGATAAGAGACGGATTCCAAATTAAGACTGGAGTAGGTAACGTACGACCTACGTTTCTTTATTGGTAAAAGTTTACTACAAATTGTGTCGAATTAGAGGAACGATCACCTTCAGAATGGGAATTCATTCGAAAAAGATTCGATTCGAAGGTTCAGTTTACCTGAGTTGCTCACCAGGACAAATAAAAAAAAATAGGCACAAAGGCTTAGAACAGTTCCTTTGGTTGCGAGTTTAACGTCAAATTGCCTGGTATATCAAATTAGATGTAATCGATATCGACTAGGAAACCATGCCAGAAGAAAATAGGACTCAAATAATACATGCGTATCCTATAAGGTGCAAATATATTCATGCTCGGAAGTTCCAATATGACTGCATGCACAAGTTCCTTTCTTTACTTGCCTGTAGGATGTTGCTGTATAATTTTTTTTTTTACTTAATTGCTGTATTATATAATAAAAAAAAAAAAAAGGTTCCGGTAAGTTGTTTATGTATTGCTACTGCAATTCTTGCCTCCAACGTTAACCTACGATACCCTTGTAAGCGTTCCGTACACGACGGAAACTGAACAAACTCATACTTACGTCTGCCAGTCGTTTGTCGAATGGTTCTACATTGACAGAAACCAGTTCGGCATGGGGATACGTCGGCTGCCTAGGATGGTCTGCTGAATCGCCTAGCTGCCCGTATCGGGGTCCAAGGGGGATATTTTTAGGATTGTGACTTTGGGGCTTCGGAACGGAAGCACGGAATGAAGTGCCCTGCTGAGCAATACCGCCACCGGAAGGGACGATCCTTACAGGAGGGTTCAAATTGTTCTTCGTTATAATAGCACCGCCTGAAAGAAAAACAATCCATAATAGGCCTTTATCAATAAGAAAAATGGTATCGAAAAAGTTCAAATATATATATACGTAACGCTCATAGTCTGTCGTAGTGCGCCCAGTATCGACATTGTATCAGGGACTAACAATACAAATAGAAAAACTCATATCTAAAATAAAAAATACGATAAGTAAACATGAAACACAGTATTCTATACAATGCATACGAATAGGAGTATGTGCATTTACTTTATGCCTATATGACGTTGTTATTATGCCTACCTTCTTCTTCTTTGTTGGCTGTACTGAAGTAAAGCGTAGGGCTATGTGCAACCTGTTCGCTGACGGCCCCTTTTTGAGGAAAGCGGCGCCCGTCATTGAGCCTAGCCGGCACATCGCTTTGTGGTACCTGCTGTTGCCTATTTAAATGGAGAACACCTGATACTGCATTTACATCCTCGAGGCGTCTTCCGGCTCGCGTCCCATGATGGCCTATATGTAAGCCATCGTTATCATGCCTATATGCAAAAACATTACTTAGATACTTATTTGAATGTGGCAATCAAGAATTCCGTTGCTTTGTTTTCATAATAACAGTTCAGACGTGATACTCGAGCATCGTATGACGAGGCTCAACGATCACAGGTGGATTCAAATTAGTTTTCTCTTATTGTCAGCAGCGACAGTGATAACGACGAAACAATCAAACACAAGTTGATCCGGAATTTTTCCAGACTGCAGATCAATCACTGTGTTTACTCACTTACGGGCGCAAGTTTTATAACGATAAGCTGCGCTATAGCTTTAACAATATTTGCTGTAAGCGGCGAAATATAAAGTTTAAGCCTGACCTGATCTCAGTTGGCGCTTGTCCTACGATATGTAAAGGTCGCGTTGGTGAGAATTGGTTAGGAACAAACTCCTCGTACAATGGTTGGCCTAAAACAGTATAAAATGAAAAAAATAACAGTCATAGGACGGGGAGTATCCATGAAATCTACAACTCCGGCAAGCGCATGTCTATCTATATATATACATATAGATGATTCTAAAGGATCATTCTTACCGTTCGCTCCTCGTACAGGCTTTTCTTGGTAAAGCGAAAAAGTAGTGTTGCTTGGTCTGTGTACGGTGGTAATGGGGTTTTCCGGAAGAGTCCCATTTCCGGATTTCGTGAGGGAAATAATATTGCCGTACTCATCGTGAAGGTGATCTGCAGGCCCGAAGTCGATATGAGATGAAAATGTGGCACCTTTATGTTGTACACGAATCTGTGATTGGTGTGAGGCAGGCACACGGCGCGCTGGTGGCGACGGATCAGGCCTAAGCGTTGCGGAATAATCACAGCAATATTAGTAGTAATAAAAATTTCCTTTCTCAATTAAGACATTGTTCACAATAGGTGCGGCATTATGAGATTGCATTTACCTGATAAAATTATTGCCACTAGTGACCCGTGTGCTTGTTAAATATTCAGTGAGCTTTACGGTACTCTTTTTAGAAATTAACGCCACCTTGTATATAAAACTAATGATTTAATTTATTTGGCCATTACTATCGGTGTATAGCAAGTACGATACAATTATAATTATTAGGACCACAGTAACGCAGGCCCGGGCCAGGGCTCTTCACATCTCTCGACTTTACTATTTGTTACGCTATTAAATAAATGCGGCTAGAAGTATGTTGGCCTTACTTTTCTAACCTTTTCACTTCATTTATAGGTCCGTAACCTGTTAGTGAAATTGTGGGTAGACGTTGCGTTTGATCTTCTCGAGCACAAGGAGTCAGCTGAACCTGTTTGTACTTACGTGGGTATGGGCTTCGGTTCAAGATTATACCGACTGGGTTTGTACTCATCAGTTTCCGGCACCGAAGGTGGGTACTCCCCGCTTTTCACTCCCGGTTCGTTTGAGTCGACGAATGCACGAAAGCCACGAGTGTCCGCGATGTAGTTTACGGTCTAAAGCACAACAAACGATTTGCATGCACACAGTGTACATTGTGCATTAGAAACGTATTGCCGGTGTACTGCTAATCGATTCAACGTATATCTAACACTGTCGATTTCAAGCTGCTTTCATGTTCACAAAATAACCCTACCGGTTCATTATTTAATGCTCCCTTTGGTAGCAAAAGGTAAAATAGTTTATTGATTATTCTGTATCAATACATAAAGAAAGCTTAACGGTTATGATCTGCCAATATTTATATATCCGTAAGCAATGCAAGCTGACATACTTCAGTAAGACCTCGATAGTATTTAGCTATGCTTACCCGCTGCAAACCATTTGCACCGACTATCTGGTAGGAACCGGTGACGGCACTCTGATCGCCTTTTTCCAGGCGAGAGCTTAGAGAGCCGTCGGGGTGATCAACGCTGTATTGGAAGTTATATGGATTGAAGACGCCGATTGGATGTGCGGCGTATTCTGAGAGCTTTTGAGCCCGCGTAAGAACTGTCGTCAAGCCGACGAGCACCTACAGAAATAACACAACGGAATTAGAGAACTGTTCCATTGACAGACGATATTAGACTACTGCTAACTCATTTGTTACATTCACACAGTTATTACTATCCAAGTATATATATATATATATATATATATATATATATAACATAAACTTACCAAACTGAGGGTTTTTTGTAAGTAATCCATAAATACTTATAAGTACACAACCGCTACTTACATGTATATTGACTAGTGGTGTCTCGCCATACGGCGAGAAGCCGTAAAAGAATCTCTATTCATTCCTAGAATTGTTCTTTAATACCTACATAAATCCTTGCACAGGGAGGCGGAAGACCCACATTTCAGCTGCTATAGAAGATCTTGGCTAATTTTTAGTCTTGTAGCGTTCGGCTCAACTAAGGCGTTACTAGTGGGGCTGCATTAAGTGTACTTGACAGCCACGCAATCAATCTACGAATACGTGTTCCCCGTATTGCTTATATACGACAGGGTAACGAATCAAAGATTATAAAGTTTAGGTCTATTTCAACTAGTCAGCATTTAATTCAAGGTGGCGCCAAAAGCGAATCAAAATTCGAAATTTCGCGGCAAACTTTGATTATCGTTCGATATCGCACTTAAAGGCAAAGGCGGTACATGTTCTCAAAATCATTGCTCAACTTAATTTACTGATCCAAGCAGATCGTAGAAGTTACACACAAAGTGAAACTGGTCGAAGTAGGTTATTTGATGTTCAGATAACAGTAATCTCGTATCACTATCGTTTCTCGGCACTCACGAGCCAATACTGACAATTCTGGAAGGGCATATTTACGGACGGGGGCTTGGTTACGAGGCTGAGCGCGCGCGCCTCACGGCTTCCTTGGTAGTACCAGAATCCAATAACATAATCAGAGGCATTTCTAGTTGAGAGTTGATCAAAGATCAAGAATCCACTATTTAGTCAACGATCGAATAGATACCTTTGCAAAAGCATAACGCATTTTGAAGAGTGGTATTGGCCCAAGTTCATGCGCAAGTAGGAGCAAGGAGAGGTATCCTTCCTGCTATTGTCCTATACACAAAAATATTTATAATAACTGGACAATAATAAGCAGCAGAATCGGTCATTGGGGACATCCTATAGTCAAATAATCTCATGTGCGCGTGGTCTCACCAAAAGTAACAGGTCTGTCACTTAATTCCTATCTAAATCTTATAGCAATAATAAATAATCTCAAGAGTATTGTGTTTTGTTTATAATGATTATTCTTCCTGCCATTCCAGAGTATGCATTGTTCTAATCTAATTTGTTCACGTCTTCCTTATTATCGCGTTCTAATTATCTTCACGTATATTAAGTTTGTCACCAACTTTCTTACTCGCTTTATATTAACACTATGACAGTAATAGTCATACGAACGACAATAGTAAATGAGATTTTATTGCTACCCGTCTACTACCATTACAGAAAAGGGATGAGTCTGATACGTTCTAGAAGACTTTCTCGCAGTGCGACGTCTGCTCTGCTCAAGACGGGAAGTAAATGTAAACAAACGAATCACTTTGCTAACGTCGCCGCATGAAATGGTGAAGTCTTTTTTGAACAGCACCTGTACAGAATAACGCACAAGCGGTAAAGGGTCCTTTTCAGCGATACTGGCCTTTGTCCACAACACTTAGTGGTCTTCTATCTTCTAATTACACAATGCTCTGCCGAACGTGGACTCTGCTGGAGTGTATCCATCCGTGGACGCTACTTTATAAAAAAAGAAGGTCTCACGAAAAGGTACAATTTTTGACGTTCATGTTGTTAATAAGTATCTACTCGTGACAATCCATTGTGTGACACGATCTGAACAGGTCAAATATGAACAAACTTATAAAAGGAAGATTTAGGAAGTTGAGCGCGTCAATCCCTTGTACTTACATCTAGGCAATGCTAATTCTATCCATCTGAAGTCTTTTCCGCTTGAGTTCTGAAAAAAATATATCTTCACAGAAGTTAGCTTTTGCAACGATTTCCCCATAATATTTACTCGGATTTTGATAACTTAGCGTAATTAAAATGTCGTGCTATGCTAGTCCGTACTTTGCACCTATATTCTGTTTTAAGTCATTAGCTTTAACTGGGGTGATATATGGTACATATGGCTTCACTGCAATCGTGCCTTCAGTTGAGTTTTTAAGGACGACATCGTATTGACTGTTTACTATTCATGAAGAGCGGGTAAATACGCTAAACACGAAAAAATATTCGTGTAATATCTTGTATTATTTTTTTAAAAGAGCCCACAACAGACGTATTGGCGTCCTCTTTGAAGCTGACAGGCTACAGTTCCTTTTCAACTTATTTGTTTTATGTTCTGCTGTATTTTTGAGGAACTGGTGTCGTTCATAAGGTCATGATTCTTAGACAGAACATGATTTGATTACTGAAACTTGATTGTTGATTGTTGACTGAAAACTTGAACGGATTGATCCAACTCACTCAAGTGGTTTTTCCCAACACACGTAGTGTGTGTGATACCTTAACAGTGACAAATTCTACTTCAGGTAGAATTTCAAATCTTTTAAAGTATGTTTGACCCCCGCTAGCTTGCACTTACTGTGTCATACTTTACCACTTGCGTGAAGTTACTCCCTCTATTGAGCTATATTCGTTAGTCAAAATAAATGCTATGGCTACCACTATAGCTCATTGCTCTTTTTACGCAGCTCATCTTATTACAGTTATGCTTTGAACGTTACTGTTATTTGGCTTTTTATCGCGTTGTCATCAATTTATCGCATATATTCTTTACATGGCCCGTCCTGTAATGTAAAACGAGATATCTACATCTCAAAGTGATACGCCCCTTACCAAAAGACGACATTAGGCCAAAAAATTAGGAAAAATCGGGTGGATGCTGTGATAACAACTGCTAGCAAAAAAGGAAGTTCAGCAGAGGGCAGGATATGCAAAGAGCATAGTATAGGGACAAATTCAACGATTCCCATGGGAATTGCCGACATTGATACGCAGTTGTGCGGGGCGTTAGGTTTAGGCCAACGTCTGTAAAAGACATTATCCGGGATCAGACCGTCAGCTATCATTATGCTAGTATGTGTAAGAAAAGGTCTTCATAAGAAGAATTCCACGTGTCGGCTTAGTTTCCCACATTCCCGTTGTCTTTTTAGATGATTTACCGCTTTTCTATACAGATCCTCAGTTATTATACACAGATACAGTTTCTATATAGATCTTCCATTATTCGTTCATTCAGTGGCGGTGAAATGATATTTGTTTATCGTTATAGTTTGTTGGTCGGATTGGCCATTTTGTTAGACTTGTTACGAATTTTATTACTCTGTGTTTGAAATGCCTCTTCTGGGATCAATCTGCTTTCCATAGCATGATAAACATTTTCCAAGCGACCAGATAAATTCGCTATTGAATCATGGTCACAATGAGGTGAGATAAAAAAATATTCACTTCACCTGTTTATAGTGAATTTATTTTGTTGTTATATACAGATGCAAGTTTCCTTGAAATCTTCACTTGTGTTTTCTGAGCTGATTGCTTTGATGAGGGCTTGATTTTTCTCTGTCCGTCCTCTTTGTTGATGTTGATCAACAGGAATTGTCGACTTCACCTTAACGTAATGTAGTGTACTTATCGCAAATATTCTCGTTTAAGGAGGTATTTCTCAGAAGTCGCTGCCGTAGCCGCCTGAGAGCACTGAATGATGATGATGTACCTAGAGCGTAAATATATGAAAAATGATGTTGAGACCTCCTTTGAGATAATCCGTATTGCCTTCTACGTGGTGTGTGTGTTTCCTCCAATTAGCGGAAGCAGACATTCTTCGTGCAGGTACGTTTACGTGGAAACACTTTGTAAAGACGCTGTTCGCGTACTAAGCGAAACTACACTCTGAATACACTGGCAAAATTGTAACTCAATTATACTGACGAACAAAAACGAAGGAAGATGATTGATTAGACATTAACAAAGACATAATTTTGCTGCTATTGGTAGGACAAAATATCGAAAAGGCCAGATGATGCTAGTTAAAAAAATTGCCTCTCCGTCATCTTTATAGCGGCGGCAGTGATAATAATAACAAAGACGCTATTTTAAGTTGGGTGGAACGGAGCACGCAACCGAGTCAGCCCAATCTTGAATTTATAATGTATCGGCAGTTGATAATATCGACGTTGTTTCCCTTTGATGTATTCTTTCTGTCAAAAACAGATGATTCTATGTGGTAGTAAACTACAAGTAACGGTCTCTTCGATGAAGATCTTGGTAGCAATATTCTTGAAATCTACGTGAGCGTAAAGTTTCACGGGTAGTGTATGGCGTTTCGAAAGCGAACAGCATCGCAGAGACTGCAGGTTCGTTTCGAGGTCCTGTGGTCATTAATATGTCATGTAGATATTTTTTCAATTAGATACATGAAACCAATATGGTGTGTTATCCAGGTTGATTTGAATATTGTTGTGTATAACATATGTCGCTTTTCGTAGTTACATATGTTGTTCTCTTCTTTGGCCCTCCTTCTCATTCGCAAATAACACCGGTCTCGTTTTATGGCGTTTGGTGCCGAGAGGCCGTATATAAAGCGCACTCCTACTGCGGCTATCAAAATGTCTGCGAAACCATCTTACAAAACCTGAGTCTAAAATGACTTTGCCAACGACTGATGCTTTCTGTAAATGCAGAAGATAAAAAAAGCGTTTAGTATTTTGGGCGTGCATCGCCTACGGGTCAAGTGCTTCGTGTAGTTAAACACGAGAATGAATGGGCAGTCGGTATATAGGTACACGAGTGCTACATCCAGCAATAATCGATATAAATAGAAGGTACCATTGTATGATGATTGTGATCTTGTTGTCTTCGACTAACATTGAGAAGGTTTTCAGCTACGAGCAGTAAGGCACCTGATGATCAGCCAAACATAACTGTTTGGAACTCTAACTTTGCATTTTGTTACGCGACATGCACGAGTTCGTCTCAAGGTTCCGCTCCGATTGTTATTCTTCAGTTATGTTTTGTAAATGCTAAGAGATACAAATCGTGCTAGCGATGATGACGCGCCAAATAGTGCCAACAATCTATTTTCAGCCAGATCAGCTGGAAATTTCGTTTCGTCGAAGCAGTACTGTTTTCCGATCTACGGTTATTCGTTTAATCAGTGATCGGGCTTCTTCTACTTCGGCTT